TTTTGATTACATGACCGAGAGATGTTGCAACAGTTGCAAATATGAGGAGTGGTCATAAATCACATTTTTCAGTGTGGCTATAACTTTGAACAGTCACTAAACAAATGGTTGTAACGTGAGTACTATCTGAAATTTATTTCCTTTACCAGCTAATTGTAAGCTCAACTTAACTTTACAGGCAATTATCTTCAGGTTTCTTACTGTCTGAGTACTTTTGACCAGACCTCTTGGTCTATGCCACAGTAGGTGGACTTGGATAAGCCTGGAAAAACTAAGCAGAGGTTGACTAGATCAGAACATGGATGAAAAGCCATCTAAAATTCTCAGAGTTAGGGAAGGAAAAAGAAAGCCTAAGAAGAAGTCCATGGGAAATCATTTCCATATTGTGGAATCACAGACACATTTATGGACTCATTAGCAAATTAGTCTGACTTGAGAAATCATACTAACCCACATGTAACAAACCATAATTTATGGAATTAACACAACAGCTGAGTTCACAGAATACAGGGAACTGCATGCTTAGCATACTGCCAGGATTGAAAAAACGTTGTATTTATATGGCATACAGGGTTAACTGAAATGTAGTTTATTCAACTTATTTTTTATAGTTTACTCAATGCCTTGTATAGGAACTAATCTCACAACCAGGGTTCCCCCACACACATCTAAAACGTGGCTATTAATCCCTTTGTGGTCCAGGGTAGGCAACAATTAATAAATTAGTGACACATTTAAACAAGGACACTGTGTATGAAACCCCATCAATGTTTCAAAAAAAAAAAAATGCAGTTATGTGGCACGGGGAAATTTGCACCTAAAAATTTTGGCTTTGTTCAGTCAATACGTAACAACTGGATTATTTTGACCTTCTTTCAGATATTTTGTTACTGAATCATTTCAGACCAGTCTTTTTTTTAACCTAACCTAACTCTGTGTTGTTTTATACTGATCGAATTCCCATCCAAGTGCATTTACTTAAGATTAGCAGTCATAAACGGTCACTTTTCTAAATAAACAAATAAACCCAACCTTCCTCACAGAGTTGTTATGGGGAAAGCCAGGAGGAAGTAGCACTATATGCTTGTACATACGTCCTATACAAAAAGCAAAAATATATTCAATCAGCAGGCTGTTGTGCAAACCCAACCAATGTGCTTAGTTTATGTTTTAATGTGCCATATGATTTCAACCAATTAAATCAGGATTTTCAAACTTCTTCAGACCATAGAACTTGTTGGTCAAGACCAAAATTTCTAAAGTCTGATCAAGGGGCAAAGCTCTAGTGATAGAAAACTGGCTGCACTGGAGTGAACTATTTTTACCCTTAGTTTTTCCATGGAATTCCGTCAAGTTCTCATGGTAAACTAATCTTGTTTGAAAACTCCTATAAACTAAGCCAAGGAACCTGATTATGTTATGCAAAGGCAGTCACTGAGAGCTCATGTCCAGAGTCTAACTACATCAGCAGAGGAGACAGGTATTCATCATGAATAGAATGTGATAAGAGTATAACCATACTGCTGTTGAAACAGATGCTGCAAGGGAATTCCTGATTGGGCTTGAGTTTTATTACAGCATACTCTGGAATGAGTCCTTTGCCAGGGCTCTCAATGGAAGTGTCTCCAAACTACGGTAGTTTGTTTTTTTACTGTGGAAAAAATTCCTCCTAAATTCTTATCACCATCATAGGCACATCTGTTACTGCTTTAGAATAAAAAATTACTCCACCCTTAACCCCAAACAACAGACTACAATTGCTTGTGTCTAAATACTGTTGAGTCCATGGGAAACTGATCTCTGCCTTTACCCACATACGTTTATATCCCAGATTTTCTCCCTCACACATGCATAAGCATACATACTAACATTCCAGGCTGTATTTGCACAACACATGTCCTATGATTAACTGAATCAATTTCTTACCTCATTTTTCTAAGGTTAAAGCTAACCAAGATTTGTTATATCATGAGAATGCAACCTTAGACACAAATTTCCATCTGGCTAAATCCATAACAAATTATTCCAGATTTTCCCCCCACTTCAATAGCATGTTTCAGGTAGGAAGTATATTTGGCAGCTGTTAGTATTAAACAATTGGTTAATAGTTTTGTGACAGGGAAAATCTGTACAGGAAATTAATTCCTTTGCCATCGAAGGAACAATTCAAACTTAGCCCCACAAAACAGATTTCCTTCACAAATTAATGCACATCTGGTTTGACTTTTTGATAATCTTTCCATGTTTGGTTCAGCACATCCTTGAACCTATGGGCATCTGTGACATATGACTGAAAACTGAAAAGTGGGGAACATGGCATTGCAATCAAAGCCTTACCCCCTTTACAACTTTGATTCTCCCACCCAAGCACCATTGTTTGCACCCAATTCCAAACATAGCTCCACTGCTGCACATAGGTACTATAATAATGTATAGAATATGTGTACAGCCCACCTATTAATATATAGAATACAAAATAACAGAGTTGGAAGGAACCTTGAAGGTTTTCTAATCCAACCTGCTGCCCATGCAGGAGACTCTATACCAGACATGTCAAACTTGCGACGTCACGTGACATCACGCAATGTATCGGGACACTTTTGCCCTTGCCGGCAATAGGGTGGGCGTGGCTTCCATGTGACACGTCCGATCCGTGGGCCAGCAGTTTGACACCCCTGCTCTATACCATTCCTGACAAATTCTATCCAATCTCTTCTTAAAAACTTAAAGGAGCCCCACCTGTTCTGAAAGCCAGCTGCTCCACTGAGTATTCTGTCAGGAAATGTCTCTTTAATTCTAGGCTTGATCTGTCCTTGATAAGTTTCCATCCAATACTTCTTGTCCTGCACTCAAATGTTTTGGATAATACATTGCCCCCTCTTCTTTGTGATAGCCTCTCAAATATTGGAAGACTGCTATCACGTCACCCCTAGTCCTTCTCTTTGTTAGACTAGACATGTCCCTTCCTGCAACTGTTCGTTTGTTTTAGCCTCTAGCCCCTAATCATCTTTGTTGCTCTTCTACTGTACCCTTTCCAAAGTTTCAATATCTTTTTTGTATCGGGTTTTATTTAAAACATTTAGATATGTAAAGACAAGTGTCTCACACCATGGGGTGATCTTCACGAACAGATTTCTCTAAAGTTACTGCCAAGAAATATGTATTTTTTATTTCTGTAAATATCTCTATATACATATACATACCAGTATACATACACACACTGTGTGTATACACATACACATATATACATATACATATACATATATAAATTAAATTTTTTAATAGTTTTAATATATCCCAGAGGTTTTGAACCGTCACAGTATAATTGCCAATTGAAAACTTGCAGAGACAGGAGCAAAACCTAGAGCAGGTTTTGACAATGTTTTTCTTTTATCTGCACAAAATTGGGTTTGGAAAATAAAAAGACAATCTTTCTGATCCATAATTTGAGAATTCCTATATCAAAGTATAATTCCTAATACAGAGCCAATGTGATGCGGTGGCTAGGGTGTACTAGATGTGGAGGATGCTCAGGGTATGTGTTTATATGAGTTATCACTTGAGAAGGCTAACTAAGATTCTATTTTAGTAATGGCCAAGTATTGAAAGTGGCCACTAAAAAAACAGCTTTAAAAAAAATAAATCCAATCCCAAAGCTTTTTCTCATGGATGAACTGTGATAGAATTCATTTTAGACAAAGCATTTCTTGATCCTGGTTTCATCATGTACACTACCTTTATCACCAGCAATAATGGACATTTCAGTCCAGGTGAGCAAACCACACCTCAACTTCACATGCATTCAGGTTAGTCCTCGACTTACAACCATCCATTTAGTGACCAAAGTTACAACAGCACTGAAAATGTGACTTATGACTCTTTTTCACACTTACAGCTGTTGTGTGATCAAACTTTGGATGCTTAGCAAGTGGTTCAAATTTGTGACGATTGCAGTATCCCTGGGACATGTGATGACCTTTTGACAAAAAAAGTCGACGGGGACGGGGAAGCCAGTTTCATTTAATCATGTTACTAACTTAGCTGCAGTGATTCACTTAACAACTGTGGCAAGAAAGGCCATAAAATGGAGCAAAACTTACTTAACTGTCTTGCTTAGCAACCAATGTTTTTGGTTGAAATGGTCCCAAGTCGAAGATCACTGGAATTTGTGAACCCCAAGGACCTCCCCACCATATCCTCACCATCTGCTACCTAAAGCCAACAGTTCACTTTACCTTAGGCAAGACTGTTTGACAGATCAATCTCTTATTCTGTATGCATTCAGAAGAGGGGGGGGAACATTTGTGGTTGGCAAATATTTGCAGCCCCCAAAATTCCAAACACTATAGTAATAAACCTGCGAGTGTCAAAACAAGTATAGCAACTATTTCTTCCTTAAGAAAGGCATACCATCCTGGATCACCTCTGCACCAAAACAGATGGATGTTGTGAATTTAATTATTACATCAAGATTTCTACAAGTGAATTTCAGTACCTGTGTTAAGGTGTTCCATCGGCAGAAAACTAGAATTGAAATTGTATGAATGAAACATGCTTTAACCCTAAGTCTAATGAAAAACATATACAGTACACACCAGTTAATACGTTCATATTGCAATTCCTCTCCTGCCTCACATTTTACGCCATAAGAGCCCCCTCCCCTCCGCCCCTTTTCCTAAATCGGGAGCTATTCAGAACTCCCTTTGCCTCCCACCCCTGGGTCGTTATTCGTTTTATCCTATTTGTGGCTCTCATCAGCAATTTTTGACAGGGAGCAGACCGAACTCCAACAGGGGAAGCAATCGGCAGTAAGAGATACTGGCGTACGCGGATGGGCTAGAAAGGGAAAGGAGCTTTATCTTTGCAACCCTTCGCTTTTTAATCCTGCAGCTGCCCCAGCGACGGCATCCGCGGACAAAGAAACTTGTTCTCCCGGCGCTTTTTCTCCCTCGGGCCCGGCGGAGCTTCTGCCCACCTTGCTCCAATTCTGCCCTCCTTACCGTTCTTTCGCATCCCGACGTATCGGCTCTACCGTGGCACGAGGAGCTCAAATCCTCGCTCTCGGGCTATTTGCAAGCGTGGCCACGTTGCATCAGCCAACATTCAGGGCGGGAAGGGGCGAGGCGGAACCAGGCCCAATCGCCGCTCCCTTCTCGCGTTATGGGGAGGCGCGTCCTTTCCAGTCATATCAATGTTGCTCCTGTGTTTGAAAGGCAAGGGGGGAGGCGATCCGGGTCCTAAATTTGAAGTTTTCACGGGGAGAGAGAGTATATAGAAAGGGCTTCCGCCGCGGCGGACGTTGCTCGCTCGCTCGCTGGTGGTTTACTTTAGAGTAGAGTGTACGGGTGGTCCTCCACTGACGACCGTAATTGAGCCCAACCTTTCTGTCGCTAAGCGAGACAGTTGTTAAGGGAACTTCTCCCTATTTTTTGACTTTTCTTGCCACACTTGTTAAGCAAATGGCTGCAGTTGTTCAAGTGGTAACACAGTTGTTTAAAATGAATCTGGCTACCTCATTGACTGTTGCTTGTTGGAAGGTGGCAAAAGGGGAATCCCATGAGTCTGGGACATGGCAACCGTCGTAAATGTGGGTTAGTTGCCATGAGTCTGAATTTTGATCATTTGACCACTGGGATGCAATAATTGTAAGTGTGAAAAATGGTTGAAAGCCATTTTTTGTGTGTGTGCCATTGTAACCTTGAGCAGTCACTAAGTGCATTGTTGTAAGTTGCGGACTACCTGTACCTGATTCATTAACCATGGTTAGCACGTATGAATCAGATAAAAAGCATAGTGGCGATGTCATCATCTTTTATACCACTGTCTTTCCTATATTCATTCTGGGTAAATGTGGTTGCACCTAAGAGAACCTCTGACAATCTTCCCCTACTTGGCACCCCTACCCTACTTCAGATTAGGGTAGGGGTGTCAAACTTGCAATGTCACGTGACGTGCTGTGACTTTTTTGCCATTGCCGGCAATGGGGTGGGTGCAGTTTCGCTATGATGCATCCGGCCTATGGACTGGCAGTTTGACACCCTGGATTAGGGGATATGAAAGGCTACCAGATGTGGGCTGCAAACAATGTGACAAACATTAGAAGGCAGCAGTGAGATAAAGATAACTTTTTGCTACCACCTAGTGGCAGTATCTATTGCAGTCTAAATCAGCTCTGTGTCAACACTGTCAACACTGCTAACATCAGATGTTTTGCATTGACAACGGATGTTTCGCTTTTAGAGTTAGATGATGCTGGGAGGGGGGGAATGTGAGTGTGAGAATCAAAATTATTGAGCCCAGAGCTAATAAAGAATTGGCAGGCTGAAGAACTGGAGGGCTTTAGAGAACTGGAGAGGAAGCCTGTGCTTCAAGCTAATTGGGGAATGTGATTTATGACTGTTAATTGGAGGAGGGAATTGTGTTTTTATACTATGTGCCCAGGGGAGGGGAATTCAGTTTTTGGCTTCAATTATGTAGTGCCAATATTATGCTATTCAAATAAAAGATTCTTTAAGGTAAACAATGCCTCGAAGTTCTTTTGAAGAGTTTCATCTGTTGGAACCATGACTCTCTGTTTCAATGACCATTGTCAACTATAAATAAGAAATTCAGTATATATTTGGTTGGTTAAAGTAGGTAAGGAAGTCTCAATATTTTTTAAGGGTCATACAGTGGTACCTTGGTACTCATTGTTAAATTGATTCCAGGAGGCACGAGGAGTTGCAAAAATGATGAGTACCAAACAAATTTTTCTCATAAAAAATGTAGTGAATCACAAGGTAGCCGACACCAACAAGTTCTAGCTTGTGCATTGAGTACCAATCAAAGAATGAATACCAGGACAAAATTTTCATGTCAAAATGCATTAAGTGCCAAATTCAATGAGTTTCAAAGCAGTTGAGTACCAAGGTACCACTGTATTTAACGGCCTCTGCACAATCAGCTAATTCATTCAACTACAAGTATCTGTTTTATTGGACCTTTTTTTTAACAGGTGGACATGATTAAAGAAAATGAGAAAGAGGAAGCTATAAAGAAAGAGGAAAAGAAATATACTATTTTGAAAGAAATGAAGTGAAAAAACAGCACTCCCTAGTATGAAACTCTGTCAGCGGAATGCAATTGCCACGTGGTAGCATCACTATTAAGGAAAATTATTTTATTCATATATTTTGTTAATAGAACATTAGGAAGCCTGAAGGGAATTTTTTTCCCCAAAATCTCCTTATAAATAGAATTAGGTTTACAAGGCAAACTTCTTGGTAATAGAACCACATTTATAAAATTAACTTGAGTTAGCTAGGTACACACAACCCAACTGAGCCATAGTTAATAATATACTGGAAATGACCAGGATAAGCCACAAGAAGGAGTCAAATGCATCATTAGTTTGGAGACCCTTCATGCCTACAAGATTTATGCCCAGAGCACCTTGAATTCTGTTGGTTCTTATCTACTGTCAATTTGCTTTGACTTAGTAGTTCAGATTCTTGTAGCGAGCTAGCATGGATTAAACCTATACTCATTTGAACAACCCTGGTTCCTGATTTCTTGTACCTAACACAATATTTAGGTTAATGTGTTGCAAAAGCCTGATGATTTATAAAAAAGTATATAAAGTAGGAACTATATCATAGCAAAATAATGAATGTAGCCTATTGTAGTTAAGTGAAAACCATAATTAAAAAATGGGTGGCCCAGTTCCTGAGCTGTTGCCCGTAAGAATCACAGATGAAAAAGAACTTTTCTAATTTGTAACATATTAATGTTAGCATCTATCTGTCACTAAGAAATTAAATAAAAAAATATTAAACTTGTATGCCATCTGACTCTTAACAATTCTGGACAGCTCACAACAATCAAACCAAAAAATTTATACAATAAAATCACTGATGATACACTGATTATGTTACCTAGTTTGGCGATGAGACGTCTGCAAGAAACCCACCAAGCTAAGAGTGCACCAATAAATACAATAAAATCAGTAAAACATTTTATGTTTAGGTTGTAAACGTTACAGTGCATTGTAAACCAAGTAAATCCCCTTATGAATCAGGACAGGATTATGCAATCTTTTGCCGGGGTGGGGAGCAGTACTTCCTCTTTCTGTCTTGCTAAGAGGTTAGATAAGGCATGAATTTGTGAACCTGGAATGTGAAAATGTGGAAGAGTTCAGGTTTTTTTAAATCTCTTTTTAGCATGGGAAAGAATTTGAGGGGGAAACTTTTTGTATTCTGCTAACATCTGGTCTCTATTTTGCAGCCCTATGAGTAGGCCACATTGAGTCCAAAGTCATCCCAATGACTGAGGATGGATTGAAAACGCACGTCTTGCCTCTCTGAATCCAGTGATTTCACTCGCTCATTTTGCCTGTTATCTTTATTCTGTATGTAGCAGATTGTGCTTCTGTCAGCCAAGAGAGAAACAATCCAATATGCTACAGGTAGTCCTTGATTTACAACCAAAAATCATTTACAACTGAAAAATCAGAAAATCAACTTGAAAGAAGATGGCAAATGACCTTTCGCTTGGCCAAGAGAACTACCTAGCATTCCATTAAACTAGCCAGGAATTGAACATGAAAGAGACTATATATATATTTACTAAATTAATTCAGTTTCCTGAGTTTCTACAGCACAGAACTATAATTATAACAGAGAGCATTGCACAAACCCAGACAGTAAGCATTCTTGCCTCTATGTGTCTTGCAGACCATTTCCTTCATATATGAGATGTGGTTTTACTGTTTTCAGAACATCATGCTTCCTGCCTGAAGAACTTTTATGATCTGAAATTTGTCCCAGGAAGGTAGGATAATGGCTGCATTCAAATGACAGATCAAACTAAAATGGGGTTTACTTATTTGGAATTTAGTATCTTGGGGAACCCCATAAGCCAGTGGTTCTCAATCTTTTTAATGCCGCGACCCCCAACCGGTCGTAAGTCGAGGACTACTCAACTGGTCGTAAGTCGAGGACTACTCAACTGGTGCAGCACCGTTTGCAGAATGGGACTTTTGGCAGGCTCAGCAGGGCAGAGACAGCCTGGACAATTCTTGTTGGCTTTTGAAAGCCAATAGAATTAGACTCTATTCAAGAGAGTCTATTCTATTGGCTTTCAAAAGCCAATAGAATAAAAGGGAGTAGCATAGCTAAGGAAAAGGCGGGGAAAAATGGCGGACTGCGTTGTTTGGCGACCCCCGTGAAATGGTCGTTCAACCCCAAATGGGGTCCCGACCCACAGGTTGAGAACCATTGCCATAAGCAAATAGAAGCAAGATGGAAGAAAGTGGATTCAATATTGATTGTAGTGTTTCTTGCCAGTATTTGTGTATTAACCAAGTTTATGCCTCCATGTAAGATGTTATAGGAAGAAGTAAATATGGAAGAAGTAAGTAAGTTTGAATTTGGTCTGCAATGGGGGATTGTAGTTTAGACAAAACAGACAATGCTAGATAACGTACAGGTACTCCTCGATTTACAACCACAACTGAGCCCAAAATTTCTGTTACTAAACGAAACATTTGTTAAGTGAATTTTGCCCCATTTTATCACTTTTATTGCCACACTTGTGTTAAATGAATCACTGAGTTGTTCAAGTAATAACACAGTTGTTAAAATTGCTGTGATCTGTTAGCCTGAACCCAACAAGTTGACAAAACTGGCAGTTTCTGTGGCGAAGTGATGAACTATTGTAAGTCGAGAACTACCTGTAATTTATTGTTTCTCAACCTCAGCCATTTTTAAAATCTGTGGACTTTAATTCCCAGAATTCCCTAGCCAGCATGACAAACAGTGCAATTAATGCTAGATTACTCTTTACACCTAACGGCCAAAAAAACAGAACAAAATCCAGGCCTCCCACCTCTAAAAATAAGTATAGGTAGTGCTTGACTTACAAGAGTTCAGTTAGTAACCATTCAAAGTTATGTCAGTGAAAAAAGTATTTTATGACCGTTTTCACACTTATGACCATTGCAGCATTCCTATGGTCACATGATCAAGTTAGACAGGTGGAAACGAACTGATATTTATGAAGGTTGCCGTGTCCCAGCGTCCTGTGATCACCTTTTGAAACCTTTGGCCAAGCAAAGTCAATGGGGAAGCCAGATTCACTTATGGAATTTGTTGTTTCACTTAACAACTGTGGCAGGAAAGGTCATAAAATAGGGTAAAACTCACTTAACAGATATCTCACTTAGCAACATAAATTTTGGGCTCAATTGTGGTCGTAAGTCGAGGACTACCTGTCCTGTATTATTAAACTCACTGGCAAAATTCAGATTCCTGCTAAAACAAAACCTAGTACAACTTACGGAGAATATGAAACTTAGCAGTTCTTTTGGATGGGTTTATTTGTCTCCAATACACGTTGTAATATAGATTACACTGCCTAAGAGGTCCTCTAATTACTGTGGAAAACACACAACATTTGCTGTGATCTAATGCGTGAACCCAGAAGTTGACTGGCAGTTTCCGTGGAGAAATGATGTCAACACGAATGTTCTCAGTGACGCATATATTTACATAAGTCTCGCTCAGAAGTAGAATTCCATAGAATTCACTGGCATTCCCTCTCGAGTATCTTATTTCTATTGCTTTACTAACTAACGCATTAGGAGCCCGGCTTGTACAGTATTACATTTCTTTTGGACTTTTTTTTTTAAACCCAGGTGTGGAAGGCGCAGGAAATAAACGTCATGAAACCATCCCAGACCCCTGTCGCCCCCCCCCAACAACTTTTGTTTTCCTAATGAATGGAAAACCCTTAACAATTACAAAGAAAGAAAAAAAATCCGGGGGCGGGGAAAGCCCTCTGGTAACTACAAAGCTGCGGATGGAACTTTGGAGTCTATTAATTATTCATGTTTGAGCCGCGCCTCCCAGCTATTACTCGCGACCAATGAAAAACGAGAGAGGCAAACGAAGGCGGAGGCGCCTTTGGGGGAGGGAGAGAGGGATGGATGAAGTTTGGAACTGGCTCATCAGAAGACAAAAAGAAAAAAAAAGGCGATTTGTGTTGTGATAGAAGCAGAAGAGAGAGAGGCGAAGGCTGTTTGGCTGATAAGGCAAGTTCAAATGGGCGAGAGGGTTGTAGGGAAGGAGAAAGCTGTTGTGATCAACTCTAGCTTAGGTGAGGAGGGCATGGGGGGAGAGTTGTTGGAGATCTGGTGCAGGAAGGGCTGATTCCTCCCCCCCCTTCAAATGACACATTGATTACAAAGGAGTGAATCATGTTGTGAAGAGTGCACAACCATAGTCAGAATTTGGATGGATATGTAATGTCTGTGCGTGTTTGAGGAGTTTAGTAGGCCAGGGCTAAAAGAGAGACCTTGGGGTGTTGAGCTTAAGCGACTTATGATATAAATTCATGGTGGTTTAATGCTAGCTAAGTCAAATAAATCTGCCTTTCCCAGCCTGAGACCTTTCGTTTGGTTGGACTACAGTCTATTATGTTTGTGCATCATGGAGGGGAAGTTTTTGTATGTAGAGAGTTGTGTGAAGCAGGAGGTGAGTGGTGGGCAGGTGAATGCCAGTTGTTGAGTGCTTCAAAGGTGGTTGTGAGAATTGTTTTTAGAGGGTGAGAGATGGGAACAGGAAGGAAAGTGCTCCACTGATTGAGAATATGGGACCACACAAAATTGTAAAAAGGCATCTTAGTTGTTCTAGTGTACTTGTGCATTTGGAGAGCCCAGAGAAAAGTGTCCTTGAATATTGCCGAATAAGGTAGCTTTCAAGAAATTGAAAATTAGTTTGGGAAAGTCCAAATGCTTTTTCTAAACATGCATGTAGGAGAGCACGATTGCACACACAATTTCTGGTGCTATTTAATATAATTATGTGGAGTTATATAAGTGGCACAGACTGCAGAGATACCACGTGCATAATGAATAGCACTGTCTGAAATGTTTTCTGAATTAAGATGTGAAAAAGTGGGGCAAAAGACACCTCATGTTTTCAGAGATACATGTCTATGAATCTAAATATGGGTTGTCTTCAGTTTTATATTAGAAATTGACGGGTATAAGTACAGAAATAATTGTGGTGAACACATGCAAAGTAATAAATAGGGATCTGCAACAGAACTGAATATTATATATCTATTCCATATCTTTTGGGAGATGTGGGGAAAAAGGAAATAACAATTTAATAGTGTACCGTAGTTAGGTATTTTAAAATGGAGATACTCTGTGAAATGCGCAACTTGCATGAGAATAAATGTAGGAAGTCTGTTAGCTCATCCGACAGAAAGTTAGATGTATATCGGCAAAGAAACTAAAATGGCACCTCATGAGTTTGTGTGAAAGTGGGGGTGGGTGGATAGAATCACTTACATCAGTACCCCAGGAAATGACTTTATCTTTCGGAGAATCTGTGACACACTAACTCTGAAACACAGCGCTTCCTCTTCTGCTTCTCTCTCAGATGTCTTATGAAACTTTTTCAGTGGTAGGGAAATATAATCTAAGCGAAAATTATGATGAAAGTTCCCCTAGTTTTCTGAAGTACTACATCTGGACTGCATGTGATTTTTATCCACCTGTTTTCTAAAACTTAAAATTCTGGGTATGAAAGTAATAGCATTTTCCTAATGTTACTCCGACAGTTCCCATCCAGTTTTCCCTATCACCCCATCTTCCCTCCTATTATGGACCCTCAGTATGCTCAGATCTCATTGGTTTGGATTGTATTTATTTCTCCAACTCTTTTAAAAAATAAAATCTTTCTGCTTTCTGCTTTCTGTTTTGGTTTGGTATTTCAATAGACCTTGGGGTTCCACAAACTTCTAGTATTTTCCTCTTCTCATGCTTATACACATCCACATGGAAAATCAGAGTTTGGTTTTGCTATTAATATATAGAATCCTGTTGATGAACACAATTTTAAATTTCAGGCTCAATTGTGGGAAGGTCTGTACAGTATAGTTACAAGAACATTTCTAGGCCAGCTTTCATCACTCGGATACCCTGCTAATATGTTGGAAGAGAAAAACTGGAGAAGAAAGTAAAAGAAATCTTCAGCCTGGAAGAAAAAAATGGATTAACTTTTATTAATAAATTAATAAAATGGTAAATTATGAGAGTTGAAGTCTAACAGGCCTGGAAGATATCAGGTTGAGGAATGCTGTGATATGTCTCTAAATATAATTTAATGTCTGTGAAATGACGTATTTCAGAGGTTGAGCAATGCCCAAGTTTCAGTTGTCATGAATTTTCAGGGGTATCCTCAGGATGTGTGTGTGTGTGAGAGAGAGAGGGGGGGAGAAAATAGCCCTTTCTCTACCCTTTGTATTGACCAATTCTGTGGAAACTCCTGACCATCCGCAGATAGAAAAACAACATGTACTCTTGATATACCTCAGATTTCTTAAGCCTGGCAATTTTAAGATGTTACCTGGTTGGGGAATTCTGGGAGTTAAAGTCCAGACAGTTTAAAGTTGCCAACTTTGAGAAACATTCATGTACAGCCATGTTCTGTCATTGCAGCATCTTGAGCTGTTTTCAGAGATACAGCCACAATATCTAGTTTAAAAAACCCTTCAAGATTCAACTTAAGGGTGGGACCTGTTAATCATTTGGAAACAGCTGGCACTGTCATTGTTATTGCCAACAAACTGTGTCTTCCTTGTCAGTGAATAATGTTTTCTTACCTTTTTCAAATAATTTCTGGAATCTTAGAACTAGCTTCTGGTTCTCTGGAACCAAGTGGGCCATTGCTGTGATCTCACTCTGCAGATTTCAAGGTTACAATACAAGTAGTTCTCAACTTACAACAGTTCCTTTAGTGACCGTTCAAAGTTATAATGGCACTGAAAAAAGTGACTGACTGTTTTTCACAATTATGACTCTTGCAGTATCCCCATGGTCACATGATCAAAATTCAGATGCTTGGCAACTGACTCATATTTATGACAGTTGCAGTGATCATCTGTTGCGACCTTCTGACAAGCAAAGTCAATGGGAAAGCCAGATTCACTTAACAACCATGTTACTAACTTAACAAATTGCAATGATTCACTTAACAATTATGACAAGGTCATAAAATAAGGCAAAATTCACTTAATAACTCTTTCACTTAGCAATGTAAATTTCAGCTCAATTGTGATCATAAGTCAAGGACTACCTGTAGAGGCCTAGACTCCAATTTTTAGAATCCTTCCTTTTTTTTAATAAAGTCCCTCAAATGATGTTCTGCATATTGCCTATAATCAGGGGTAGGCAATCTTGGCTCTTTTATAACTTGTGGACTTCAACTCCCAGAATTCCTGCTCAGGAATTCTGGGAGTTGAAGTCCACGAGTCATAAAAGAGCCAAGGTTGCCTATCCGTGGCCTACACTGATGTAGATGGGGCTTGGAAGGGGCTTGGGTCTCAGCTAACATAGAATAAAACTCAATGTTTTTTTTCTCCTTCCAACAGGAAGAAGATAATGTCTCACAAAGGATGTCTCAGTGTTACAAAATACTTCCTCTTTCTCTTCAATCTTTTCTTTTTTGTGAGTACATGGCTGGGGGCCAGTTGCATAGCCAGCTAGAGAATTATGATTTGCAGCCAGTTCGTGAAGCTGTGTTTATGCAGGGTGGGAAAAGAGGAAAGAATGGCTACTATACGTAGATGTATACTTTTTAAAACAATCAAACTGAAAATCTCTTTCCCCTTCTTCAGATCCTTGGAAGTCTGGTCTTTGGCTTTGGCTTATGGATACTTTTTGATCAAAATAATTTTGCTTCCACACTTGGTAAGTTTCCATCTCCCTCAGAGACCGACTTCCTTTTCTAAATACTGTAGAGAATGTTTGATCATAATTGGGACTGGAAAAATTCATTGTCAAGTGGTGCAGTCATGTGACCACATCTGATTTTATGACCTTTTTTGCCATCGTCATTAAATGAACTATCGTCCTCAGGTTTTTTTTATTAGTTTATAATATAAAATACAAAAATACAAAGAAAAATATTAGGGAACCAGGGGAGGGAGAAGGAAAGGGAAAGGTGTAAGGAAAGGGGAAAAAATAAAGAAAAGGCATTGATTTCCAACTCCGTTTGGTGCACTATAATAAGATAATAGCATCAAACCTCAACTTTTTATTTTTCCATAATAGTATAAACTAGCCATTTCTGTAACAACAAATCTAATCGGTAAAACCCAAAATCAAATTTTTGTTTTTTTCCACCTCAAGCAGAAGTGGTTTCCAAGTAGAAACAAAAGTAATTGTGTGTTTTTTTTCTTTAACGAAGGCAATCAATGTAGCCATCTCTGTTAACTTCATCAATTTTTGCAGCCATTCATCCATTGTGGGAATCAAAGTGTCCTTCCATTTTTGTGCATAGAGTAATCTTGCTGCCATCAACATATATAACATCAAAGTTTCTAGTTTTTTTCCCCATTTTTTTCCTCACTATCTTGCTCTTTAAGTGAGATGTGTGATGTCCATTTCCAACCTTCCCTGCCAGCTTCCCCGTTGACTTTGCTTGTCATAAGCTGGCAGGATGGTGCAACTATTGTAAATACATGTCTGTTGCCAAGCGCCTGAATCACAATCACATGACCGTCACAATGCTGCAGCAGTTGTAAATGCAAAGATCAGTTATAAATCACATTTTCAATGCCATTTTGATGTTGAATAGTCACTAAGCAAATGGTTGTAAGTCAAGGCCTATGTAGCTCTTTTTCAAAAGACTTAGGCTTCTTTGGACATAGGCCCAGTAAACCGGGCTTGAGTCTTCCAAACATTTCTGTCAGTTGAGGAACAAGGAAAGAATAGAGACTGCTTATTATTATTGACTTCTTTTCTATCATTTGTATCTTTTCAGTTCTTGATTGTTTCTTCCTTCCTTCACAGGGTCCTCATATTATGCTCTCAAAATATGGTCCTACATTTTCTCGGGTGCGGGCATCCTAACAATGTTATTGGGATTTCTTGGATGCTTGGGCTCTCTCAAGGAAATCAAGTGTATGCTAGGACTTGTAAGTAGCTGGGTAGAAGCTGTGGGCCTCTATTCTGGTGCTGTCTAAGAAAGGGAAATAACATTTATTGGGTTCAGTTAGGTAGGAACATCATGTTGCTCCTGTATCCAAAATGATACTCCTCTTAAAAAAAATTTTTTTTAAGCATTATAAATACTTCACCAAATGGAACAAGTTTTGAAAGATTTTGGTGATCTTTTCAGGAAGACAAAAATCTTCTGAAGTTTTGAGATGAAACATTTAAGTTCTAAGAAATTTGGTGGGCAATTTGAGAAGAATATTTTAACCATGTGATGCAGACTTGTGGGATAGAGCTTAGGGTGAGAAAAAGTGGCCAACTCCTGGATTAAAGTAACAAATTCTGGAAACTAGGATTTCTCTGGAAACTGGATCTTCAGACTAAGACAGTGAGATAACATGAAAGCGAAGAATTATGCAATTGAAAAATTGTGAATAATCTTTACTGTGGGGTCCTTGGTGCTCTCTGAGCATGGTTGTTTTCTTGCAAATGTTTCATTGCCAAACTAAGTAACTTCATCAATGACTAATACTGATGATGTGACCGAATTTGGTAATGAAACGTCTCCAAGGAAACTACCAAAGTCAGACAGTAACAAGGACCCCACGTTCAACGCCAAACTACAAAAATTCTATTCCGTTGGAATCATTAACTCTATGAAACAACTGAAAAAGCTGATATACTTTATTTGGAGGGTAGGTGTAACTGTGCTGACACTTATATGGCATTCAATTACAAGAAGAACTCATGAATACTATATGTGGGCATTTATTTCATCTTTAATATAAGACTAATGATGGCACAGCATTCTAGTTAATTAGTGGCTCAGGTGATCCCTCTAGATCCGGGTAGAAATCCGGTTGTGTGCCTTTTAATAACACAACAGAATAAAGGAAGGAGAACCTGTATAGTGCATGATGTGGTAATTTCCCAAGAGGCTTTTGTAGTGGGAAATGCAGAAAGGTAATTATGCTCTGTGGTATTTTCACTTTGTAGTGATATATTTGGTACCTTGTGATTTAGCTGCAGATGGGGTTTCAATGTTTACAGCAGTGGTTCTCAGTTTTTAATGATGGCCGCTAGATTTTTTTTAATGGTGATTGCTTGGAGGTCAGGTATAGCATGTGTCTGTATTTTAATAATACCTCTCAGATATAGGGGAAAATGCAGATTAAAAATAAATTTAGCATGCTTGTTTGTAAGAAACTTGAAGAAATGTTCCTGTGAATGAATGAATGAATAAATGAATAACTGATACCATGGTGATGTTGACTGATTTTGCTGGCCTTTTTTCTCTCCATCAATAGTACTTCGCCTTCCTATTGCTCCTGTTCGTTGGTCAAGTCACCATTGCAATCTTGATACAGACACACAGCAACACGGTAAGCAGTGTCATAAGTCAGAAGATTTCTCATAAAATGGTCACCATACACCTATTTCAACAATGCTTCGTTCTACCAGAAGGGGTTTTCCCCCCTTCTCATTCCCTTCTTTTTTTATTTTACTCTTAGTCCTTGACCTGGTCTATATCTTGGATAACAGCCTTCCCAAAGATCATGCCCCTTGATAGCTGAATGCTTCTTTGTATATACAAGGGCCCACGTATGCAAGGGAATCTAATGTTCTCTAGATCAGGAGTCCCACCATTTTGCAAGTATACTAGGCAACCTTGGCTCTTTTATGAGTCCACAAGTCATGGCTGGCTCAGGAATTCTGGGAATTGAAGTCCACGAGTCATAAAAGAGCCAAGGTTGCCTACCCCTGAGCTAGACTAAATCCTTTCTCTCTTTTTTTCTTTTTCCCTTTCCTTTCTCTTTCCCTTTCTCTTTCTCTGCCCAGAACAAAAAAAATAAAATAAAATGGGTGGGGGAGGAATGACTAGGGCCTGTGAAAGAGAAGAGTCAATTTACACTCAATATTTCTGTGTCCTTAGTGACTCACAGAGCAGATGTGTGGCAGGGTATATAATAGAGTGAGAGAAAAGATATATACATATACATGTACATGTACATGTGGGTGTATATATATGTAGGTCTTCTCCGGGAGTAAATGTGATGTTTTGTGATTTATTAATTGCAAAAATGTCTGCTTTTTGCCACTTTTTTTCATCTGGCTTATACTACAGCCAAAGTTAGCAGTATCCCTCTCCCATTCTTTGTGCAGGCTTTGGGTTCTTTAAAATCCTTTCATAACAAGTATGCATACTGTATGGTGATGCCTTTAATAATTGGTTTGATGCCTTAGCAAAAGTAATTAAGGCTTGGGGGTTAAAGTCTTGCATGATGCAATGAGTAAAAGAACTAGCTCCCTTTCTGGAAGGGCCGGGTGATCAACAACTTTGTGTGAGGTGCTGAGAGGATGGAAAAGATTTGGTGTTATCATCACTGTTCTCCACTGCTGGATTCTCTGGGAAAGGAAAATAAACCTTGCATCCTGTTTGGTTTGAACTTTTGTCCACTGAGAGTAGAGTTTGGACAGAACCTCCCATTCTACTTCAAATAAAGGTAGTCCTTGACTTACAACAATTCATTTAGTGACCGTTCAAAGTTACGGCACTGAAAAAATGACTTATGACCAGTTTTCATACTTAACAACCATTGCAGCATCCCCATGGTCACATGATCAAAATTCAGACACTTTGCAATTGACTCATAGTTATGACAATTGCAGTGTCCCAGGGACAGGTGATCCGCTTTTGCAACCTTCTGACAAGGTCAATGGGGAAGCTAGATTCACTTAGCAACAGTGTTACTAATTCAACACCTGCAGCGATTCGCTTAGCCACTGTGGTAAGAAAGGTCGTAAAATGGAGCAAAACTCACTTAACAAATGTCTCATTTAGCAACAGAAATTTTGGACTCAATTGTGTTCGTAAGTCAAGGACTACCTGTAAATATAATCCAGATTTTATTCCTAGTTTGGTTTTTGAAAGAAGTGGGCACCTGCTTTTTCTATGTTTGAACCAAGCCTCATCTATCAAGGAAGACTTGTCTCCTCTTCTGCGTGCTGGGAGGATTCCAGGGAAAACAGGATGCTGATCTGTCACAGATAGACGCATCTTTGTTTTTACATATGATATAAAGAGCCTAACTAAGTTTGCTATTCCTCCCACATACAGATCAGTTCAACAGTGGCTGGACACGTAAAAACCATCATTGCAGGCTATGGAACAAACGCATCCCTTTCAGATCATGGTGACAGCTGGGATTTTGTGCAAGAGCAGGTAAGCTGTCTTCCTGTTATGTCACTGTAACAGTAATGTTAGTTTTTCCATCCTTTACCTCCATTGATGTGATTCTTTGGGGACATATTTGGCTGTATGTAGGGTGACTCATATAACATGCTAAGCCATAAGGTGGTTTGTTTAGATTTGGCCTGGTGTGCTGGGTGGATGTAGCCATATGGCTTGAAACTCGTGACATGTAAATTTTAAAATTTCTGGTTGGTTGATATGGCTAAAGCCACGTTGGATGAGTCTAGTCATAGAGTCAACCTACAACTAAACTTAGTTCATTCATCAGGTATGGCTATGATGGCATATTTACTAATATTGATTGCATATATATGTAATGCTGTGGTGGCAAAATGGTTAAAATGTAGTATTGCAGGCTAATTCAGCTCCCTGCCAGGGATTCAGTCCTCACCAGTTCAAAGTTGACTCAGCCTTCCATCCTTCCGAGGTCAGTAAAATAAAGACCCAGATTGTTGGGGGCAATATGCTGCCTATGTAAACCGCTTAGAGAGGGCTATAAAGCCCTGTAAAGCGATATATATGTCTAACTGCTATTGCTATACAGCCCGATTTTCTCCATATTGGAGCTCAAATTGGCATAAATAACAGCAGTTGTTCTCAACCTTGGCAACTTGAAGATCAGTGGATTTCAACTCCCAGAATGCCCCAGCCAGCATGTTCATTTAAGAGTTCTGGGATACATCTTCAAATTGTCAAGGTTGAGAAACATAGGATAAGAGATTTTATGGAGTCTCCCATTTAGGCATGGACCGTGCTCATATCCGCTTAATTTCAGCAAAGGTGTGCCAACCCTGTGCTAGGGAACACTTTTCCTCTAGTAGTTTTTTCTGTTGCAGGATAAAAAGCAGTGATTTTTTTTTAAATGGATGATTCCACTACACAGACAGGAAAGCTTTGTCTCTCCAACCATCTTCTCTTTCTCACTGTCTTCAATCCCATCTCTTTTTCTTAGTTCCAATGCTGCGGCTGGACAGGCTGGACAGACTGGATGGAAAATAGCAGAGTCAGAAATGCCTCAAATAAACAGTTTCCCTGCTCGTGTCGTAACACCTCCGTTCTACCTTCAGCCCACAACAGAACAACTGCCAAGCCGGCCCTCTTTTGCCAAGCAGAGGGACAGTTGCCAATCAACAATAGAGTGAGCGGCCCACGCATTGTTCTTGGGTTGGGGGTGTGCACAATGCAGTCTAGCCCCTTTGGGTACTTGTGGTGACGGCTGCATTCCTCTGTTAACATAAAACAGTTTTTAAATACTTGACCCAAATCCTGCAGGGGAAAAAGTCACGGAATGCCAGCATTCTCTGTGCCCACCAGTATTTGTATCCAGAATGTTTAGGCAATTGTTTAAAGGGGGGCAGGGAAGCATGCAAGTGATTGTATGACAGTGCCTGAAAAGGATGCCAATTCCTGCTCTTTGGGGAGAGGGAGGGGGAGAATTTGTGCACAAGATATTAAGCTTGCCATGTTCATTCTCCTGTTTAGTTCCTGAAAAGAGATGGCTTAAGAGGCAATTGGATATGGGAGATTATTGTTAAAAAAAATATATAAGAAGGAGAGCATAGATGGAACAGCTTATTCCAATGCATTTGGGAGATGCCAAATTGAGGGAAACTGTAATAGATCTTCCGGTAATAGATCTTCCAAAAAAGGGTGCTGTATATTGATTGATTCCAATTTTGAGGCTCTCCAACTCCTTGTCAACTGATTGGCTTACAAATAAACAAAACATAGAAAACATGGCAAACTATAAGAGCAAAACTAAGCTAAATTAAAAGGACCGTCCCCCAACCGAGGCCTGGGTGAACACCCAAGTTTTTTTTAGTGATTTCTGGAACATCATAACAGCTTTTGACCAGTTTGGCACTTTCTAGGTGGGTGGTTGATTTGATGGTAGTCAGAAATAGGACCGTTCAGAATGAAATATATACATATATACATACATACATACATACATACATACATACATACATACATTCCTATCCTATCCACTTATATTGATTTCATATCACTATGCCATTGTACCTTGTTCTTACTTTTTCCAACCATGAAAGAATAGAATTAACCTACGTGCAAAAAGCAGTTGTACAGAAGAGAATTACACACTATTTTTGGGACCACAGTCGATATATCCATTTGATATAAGTATTTATTTCTGAGTAGCATGCATTTCTGTTTATAAAAACGGAATAATAAAATGAGAAACAGTTGTGCATGATTATAATAATGCTATTTAAAAAGAAACAAAGGCTACTGAGAACAAAGCATGTAGCCACAGCCACAGCATCTATTTTATAATTTAAAGCCAAGTGTTACACCTCTCCTAACCCGTAACAGGGTAGGGCTAATCAGATCTCGGGGTTATGTTATTCCAAATAAATATGGCTGCAACAGAGAAGACTCTGCATCTTGGGCCTTGTAAACCACCTCCTTAAGGAAAAGGGCTTGGAGTGAAATCTATTTGGATGGACACAAGCTACTGGGGCAAGTTGGTCTTGTAAAATATGTAGGCCCTTAGCCATAGAGGTATCAATTTCAGCCTCTTTTTGCTGAGTCCTTGAAATGAACAGCCAGTTGGTCTGGGAGTGATGAAAGGAAATGGGTATTCATACACTGCAAAAGTAATTTGTGGGGCTCAAGGCTTCCTGATATGGAAAAGGACAGTGCCATGGGTGTTTCTGAACATTAGTAAGAGGACTGGCAAATGCAAGGCTAGGGTAAGAGTGCAGAAAACAAAGGTGAGGTGTTCTTTCTGATATTGTGTGTGTGTGTGTGTGTGTGTGTGTGAGAGAGAGAGAGAGAGAGAGAGAGAGAGAGAATGTGTTTTGGCTATATCTGCTGGGCTGCAATGTGGGAGTGAGTGAGATGTGCCTTATAATTGATCTGACAAGGGTTATGCTTGGAATTCCATCTGATGCTCCTTTTTAATGTATTTTTTCTCCATTGCAGGGCTGCAGGGAGAGCGTCCAAACCTGGCTGAACAATAACCTCATCAGCATTGTAGGGATCTGCCTTGGGATTGCTCTCCTAGAGGTAAGCGCTCCTCACTGACGACTGGGTACAGCTACATTTCTACCAACAGAAATGTAGAAATAATAACAGAGATGTGCAAATATTGATGGGTTTGGGGACCTCCCAAAATCATTACAAAATCATTCAGTTTATACCACCTTGTATGGTATTTATTTTCAGGACTGCCCAAAGACATTTTGTAATAATAGCAATCTTCTTTTCCCATCAACCCCATTATATAAAGGTATGTAGTATTGAAATACAATTGGGTCTTGTAGGCAGAAAATCCTATAAAGGCCATCCTTTCATCCTCTGGAATATTAAGCTAAATATTTAAATATTCGATGCTGTTTCATGGAATTCAGATTTGCGTGTTTTGAGATCTAATTTTTTTAAAGCATCCAATAGTCATAGCTCTCTGGGTACTTTGCTGTTTGATGATGGAATGATCCAAACGTGGTTTGTTTTTTTTCTGCCTGGCTAAGGTGCCATTATATTTTTGCCATCAGTGTCCCTACCAGTCTACTCATTTCGATCAAGAGGCATTGCTGGTGGGCAGCTGAAATGTTTATATGTGCTTGGTTGTGAGTGCATTACATGATAAAGAATTGAGGTCTTCATCTCTTCATCCTGGATCTTTCTTGTAGTTACTGCAGCTGCTGTGCATGTTGCTGGTCACTGCATTAGAACACAAGGACCTGCATAGTGGTGGCTCCCAGGAGATCCCTAACAGGTGGCTAAAGAGGGTGCATAGATTTTTCTAGCTTTCTGCCATGCCTTGTTATTTGTGTCTTCCTAAGTTGGGAAGGATGTGTGCATGTCCTTTTCTGTGCATGTCCTTTTCTATGTGACCTGTGTGGCTCATGAGTGCAGTGCAGGGACTACTGATTTTTCTTGGGTGCAAGCATTGGCCAGAAAAGCTGCTGTCATCATAGTATCATGCTTGTGTATTTGCAGGGAAGATGCTCAGCAAATGTTGTGCTTCTGAAAGATCCCATATGAATCCTTGTGAATTCACCTAGTCCTAGCCCATTTCCTCTATCTGGCATCTTCTCATCTGCTGGATTATAATGTAGAATAGTGTAGTAATTTTAGAAATATGATTTAGGCCAGGAAGACTTGGGATCAAGTGGTGCAGTGGCTAGAATGCAATATTGCAGGCTAATTCTGCTGACTGCCAGGGATTCGATACTCACCGGCTCAAGGTTGAGTCAACCTTCCATCCTTCCAAGGTAGTACAAAGAGGACCCAGATTATTGGGGGCAATATATGCTGACTCTGTAAACCACTGAGAGAGGCTGTAAAGCACTGTGAAGCAGTATATAAGTCTAAGTGCTATTGCTATTGCTATCAAGTTTATTCTAACTGTAGTTTATTGGCTAATGTTGGGCCATTCACTCTTTCAGCCCAAACTTGGACAGTGGTTGCTTGTTAACATAAAATGAGATCCTCTGTGGAGCTCCCATGAGCTCTCACACAAAACAATGCAAGAAATAACAATTCTCATCACCCCAAGCAAGCACAGCCAATGGTTCCTGAGGATGATGGCCAATTAGTCCAACACAACTGGAGGAGACATCAAATAGCTTTCTCTTTAAGCATGTGTAGAGATTACCTTTCTGGAAATCGGTTGTTCTCCTTACTGACTTTCTGAATTGGCTGGAAGACAATAGATTATGTGTGTGTGTGTGTGTGTAGGTTAAGAGTAGTTTGTTTTGGAAAATTGCGATTGATTGTGTTACTTCCATATTTTTTCTTTAAGAAAAGCAAACACAGCTGTTTATGCTGTTTTTTTTTTTTAAATAAACTGGCATATATCCAAAGGGCCTGGATTTTAAAGAAAGAGGTAGAAGAGGAACATAGTGTTTTTCTGGTATTCCCCAATGAGAGTCACATAGATCTGGAAAACCCATGAAATTAATCTAATTTCTGATGCAGATCTAAATTTAAAAACAAGACATGCTTGCAGTTCTTTTCCAATGGTCCCATAATGAATTCTTCTTCTTTCATTATTCCTCCTGTCTGTATTTCTAATGCCATCCAAGAAGAGCTTTTAACCTTTGGGCCTTTATGGGTAAGCCCTGCCTATGGTTGCAGCCCAAATCCTTAGCTGTTTCAGTGTGCTTTCGATAGGTTGACTGCTGGGTATATGCATATGCCCGCTGTGTTTCTCAACACCTACACACCCTACTCTTGGCATAGGTCTAGGCATGTCTGAAAAGGTGAAGTGTTGATTTGCTTCCCAAAGTGATGCATGAGCCCCTGGGTTATGTTTGTGCTACTCCTTAATTCTCCCTTGTTTCTGAAACCTCTTTCCATTTTTATAATCATTTAAATTATTTCACATACCTGCTGCATAGGGACACCTACCTGGAGTTTTGGCAAGGTAATTCATTCCAAAGCATTGTCAGGCCTCAATGTTCCTCAGTGCAAATGTGTCAATGTCCACAATGCTTTGTTTTTCCCACCCTATTCCTCCTTTGCAAGTTAATGTCTTGCCTGCATCTTGTGCTGTTGCAAAAAGAGCTTTGCTGCCCCCCCCAGGCCAAATTGATACATGTAAATGAAACATGTCATGCTATGGGGCCCAAGAACTACAGGTGCTATAGTTACTTGAGCACCAATAAGGAGAACTGGAGAGGGCAAATGCAGCAGAGAACAAAAAAAAAAAAGCAGTTAAGAGAGACTCAAAATGCTACAGGGCAAAAACTCACCCTTTTTTAAGCATTGATAGTCACCTTCCCTCCTTCCAGCAAGATATATTCTATGAGTCATTCTGGTTTCCGTAGCTTCTTTCCATCGTGTCTATTTACTTTCCCTGTGGTGGATTATATTTCAAGAATTCCGCAGCCAACCTTAGCATTGCTGATCCATGTGTCTGGAGAGCGCCCAGATAAGGGAAAGCACTTCAAGGATAATGGGGATTGTAGTTCAGCACACATGAAAGGCACCTGGTTGGGTTCAATAAGGATTCAGAGATAGCTACTGTACTCATGAGTTGTAATTTCAGGGCTTAGGTCTAGACTAGGAGTCTTCAAACTTGACCCTTTTATGACTTGTGGACTTCAACTCTCAGAATTCCTCAGCCAGCGTGCCTTCAACTTCTAGCTGGCTCAGGAATTCTGGGAGTTGAAGTTCACAGGTCATGAAGGGGCCACAATTGGCATGCATCCAACCTTCCCAGTGCAATGGATTCCCAACTTCCAGAAATCTGAAGCAGAAATACTGGAGATTTCATTTTTGAGAGTGGGCAACTAAATTTCATTTTTGATGTGTGCCGTTGTGCCCACAGTAAAAAAAAATGACAATAAAGGTTATCTTATCTTATTGAAGTCTAACCAATCTGAAGGTTATGGAATCAAATTGAGAATCTTATATAATTTTATTTTTGCTTTGCAAACTATTCCAAACATGGAGTTTAGCTTTTCTTATGATAGAAGTGTGGTTGCTGTTTCTTTTACTAAAATCTCTCTTTTTCCCCACAGCTCTTCCTCATGATGGTATCGATGTTTCTGTGTAGAACCGTTGGTCCCAACTACGACAAGCTTGCTCGTTATTCCTAGGCAAACAGACTTTTGGGGGAAATGGCATTGAAAAAATGGCATTCCATCTTATTTAGACATTCCACCCGGGTTTTAAAACAGTACATTGTAGAGCTGCAGTTACGTTCAGCAAGTTTACTATCTCACTTTCTTGTCCTAAGTGATCCAGTCTTGGAAACTGAGATGAAACTTTCAAGAATCAGAGCAACCAATAAGAAAACAGAGTAATATGAAGCAGGTTTTTACCTTCAGTTAGTTAAAGATAATTTAGCTCTCTAAAAAGTATAGCCGTATCGGCTTTTGGTGTCACATAAATCCCCAAAATAGGATAAAGAATTCTATGTTTTTATATTGCATTGCCCTGGAATGCACAGATTTTAACAGCCAAGCTCTGGTCTACTTTTGCATGAGAACTATTTAACCATAAATTACTTATTGCTAGGATCTGTCAAATACAACCTGAGAAAAATTATTTGTTAAGCGCATATACATATTATAATTCAACACTGCCCCCAAATCCTTTAATACGGCTGTTTTAGAGGTAAAGCTAAAAATTTTACTTTTTTTTTAAGTGAAACTCGCACTCTGTTATTTAATTAACAGTTAGGACTGTGAATTAAGAGTGGTGTTGACCCACCTGATTGGACCAAGAGTTTTTGTATCCTTCCTGCTGCCATTGGGGTGAGATCTATTCATCCAGACTTCAAACATTCTCAACCATACATAGGATATAACCAAACTTCAAACGTTCTCAACCATACATAGGATATAACCAAACTTGAACGTTCTGTGTTCTATGTGTGCTTTAGTATTTAGCCTTTTGTATCGCAATCTTGTCTTGATTTGATTGAATTAATCCGTGTTGAAAACAACTCTGTTAAGAGGGCTGCATTTCTCGCTTATGTTTGGACTAAACTGTTCTATCACAAGTCTTTTCCTCTTGTTGGAGAAAAGGCACAAGGAATCTGAAGTCCATCTGATATTGTTCATTGTTGGCTCCCAAGTGTCCCAGCCTTTATAGACAGTGGTAAGGAATGTTGAATGACAAGTTCTACAACCCTGAATCTGCAAACCTTTGATGGAGCTCATGACCACTAGCTAGTTCAGAGGCAGGATATACCTGAACTGGAGTGAAGAAAGAGGTCTGTTTGCACTGGGAATGTGTTGATATGGCCATTGACACTTCTGTGGATTTTTAAATGGTGCCTCTTTACTGCCCCCAACTCCCCAGCAGGTGCAAATGAAGGGGACATCTTATCTTTGAGCCCCAAAAATTGGACATGGTTTTGCGTTGCGCCTTGCACATTTACAACCCTGTAAAGAGGCAGATGAGAGAACCTTTGTTTTTCTTTTTTGCGGTATTTCTATATTCAGCTTGGATGTTTTAAAACGGAAGCACAAAGGGGGAAATAGTTTGAGGAAGAGGATGCAGGTGGAATGAGGTACCTATATAATTTCACCTCCTTTCTCAACTTACTGTGGTTTGTTCCTTCACAGAACTGGAGGTTTTTTACATTCTATTTTGTAAATAAAAATGATCCATAAACGGTTGTGTTCGGTTCTTTGAACTTGGATGTAAAATAGCGTTTAGCTATTTGCGACTGGTGAATATCCGTAGTTCAAGTGTAGGGTGAGGGTGGAGGTTCGTTCTCCCCCCTTTGTGGGTTGGTTTCCGAATGTTTCGTTGCTGGACTAGGTAACATCTTCAACGGAGTTTAGAGAAGCTATTTAGCTATTTCTCCAAAAAAATGGATGTACTGATACTGATAGGATCCCTGGTCCAATAGCCAAGAGCAAGCAAGCAAAATAAAAGGCATGGCTCCTGGTGAATTCTTAGCCGTGCCCCTTAACTCCGGCTGACCAGTCTATGCTAATTGGCTGGTTTTCAATCATAAAGGCGCCTCCTGAGACATAACAGACTTCTGATGAGTTGCATGCAGCAGAGTGCTAGAAACTGGAATTTAGGATTAGTTCTAGAACAGTAGCTTTAGCTAAGGAGCGATAGTCCTGTTTTTACAAGGATTCCGTTTTGCTGAGCTGGACTTTTTTCACAAGGGGTAAGTGATGGAGCTTCTTCTAACTAACTCTTTGATATATACATCTGATTACTCCTATTTAGCTGGATCTTTTCTGAATTTGAGATCAAACAAGGAATAAGTGCTTCATTGTAGCTGGCAATAAATCTGATGTGGAGTTGATTCCAGATGGTTGCAAGCTGTCTGGATTTAGGACCCAGCTAAATACCCATATGTATTGTCTTAGCTCTGGTACCATCTTCTCTTTGTAAAAAAGATCAAAGTCAGTCTATAGCTGGAGTGGGCAACAGGATACATAGGCTATATGAAGTTCCCGTTTGCAGCCTCATGAACTCATTTTAAATGTATGTTTGAATTTTTGAAATGTGATTTCTTGGAGGAAAGCATAGCAGTACATAGAAAGCATAGCAAATTCTAGAGTAATTGCAACACACAAAAAAGAATCTCTCTCACACACAAACTACAAAACCTAGCAATCCCAGACACCAAAAGGCTGCCCACTACTGGTTGAAGTATATCCATGCTCCACTTTTTTCAAAAGTGCGCCGATTTCCATCCAAATTCTGGAGACACTGCTACTCTTGGTAGAAACAGGTTGTAAGGCAGAATAATATCAGTGTTTTGTTTGATTGAGAAGCCCCTCCCTCTACTTATGACCTCAATGGAGCCCAACATTTTTGTCGCTGAATGAGACAGTTAAGAGAGTTTTGCCCCATTTTTACAACCTTTCTTGCCAGTTGTGAAATTAGTAACATGATTGTTAAATGGATCTGGCTTCCCCACTGACTTTGCTTGTCAGAAGGTTGCAAAAGGTGATTACATGAGCCTGAGAGACTGCAGCTGTTGTAAAAATGAGCCAATTGCCAAGCACCCAAATTTTGATCACATGACCATGGCAATGCTACAACAGTCCTGTGAAAAATGGTCCTAATTCACTTTTTTCAGTGCTGTTGTAACTTCAAATGGTCATTAAATGAATTGTAAGTTAAAAACTACCTGTATATTGTCCCCCTTTCCTACCAAAGAGGGAGAGACAGAAGCAACTACAAGTTGCTTGATAATCAAGAACATGCATTTAGCCAGATAAAGCTTCTTCAGATCTAACATATAAGAAAGCTCGGTTTGCTTTTATATTTTTGTTGCATTTAAGATTGGGATTATGTGTGGAATAGAAGAAGGTGGTAATTTTAATTCCAGAGCTGAAAACGTAATTCCATTCGTTCTCCAAAATTTGGACGGCTATTTTTTTTAAATGCTTCTTTAGCTATAAAACTCTGTGGCAGCAGAAAGCAAGAGAAAGAAAGTTTAGAAGACCACGTTTCTGTTTCCTGCTATTAATGTTCTTGCCAATCTTTAATTACTCATATGAGTAATATTAAAATGCCTCCCACCTACACTTCAAAGATACATGGCTTACTACATGATCTCATGCTCATTGTGTAGATGAAGCCTGAGTTTTGCAAGGCAATACCTTCCTACAGTGTGAATTGTTCTCTGCTTTTGAAATGACAGCAACATGAGACTTAAACTCCTGGGCCGCAAAGGAGAAATTAGACAACTGAGACAAGAATTTTGCTGAGCAAGGGGGTTGTTAAGGGAGCGACATCCAATTTTATCTTTTTTTTTTTTGCCATTGCTGTTAAGCAAATCGTGGTTTTTAAGGGAATCTGGCTTCTCCCATTGATTGGGCTTGTCAGAAACCAGCTGGGAAAGTCACACATGGCAATCACATGGCTCCTTTGTTATTATTATTTTATTAGTTTATAATATGTAATAGAAAAATACAGCACCCACACGATCATGTGATCAAAATTTGGATGCTTGGCAACTGGCATGTATTTATGATGGTTTTAACATTTGGGAATCATGTGAACAAAGCAATCACATGATTCCTGAATGCTAAAACCATCATAAATATATGCCGGTTGCAAAGCACCCAAATTTTGATCATGTGGGTGCTGTGATGTCCTAAGTGCAAGGAATGGTTGTTAGTCTGAGTGCTACTGTAACTTCAAATGGTCACTAAACGAGTAGTTGTAAGTCAAAGGAGATCAACAGCGGACAAGAATTCAAATTTGACTTAAAAGTTGTATTAAACCTTAATATCATTACTGCCAATGTAAATACAGTCTTCAACTTGATCACATTAAACCCTTCAGTTAGGTGGACTCTTAAAGGGATCTGGGGAATGACATGTGAATTGGGAGCATCAGGTTATGCACTCCTGGTATAAACCTTTTTCTTAGAGCAGTGGTTCTCAACCTTTCTAATGCCGCGACCCCATAATACAGTTCCCCAAGTTGTGGTGACCCCCCAACCACTTATACATCACCGGGTGCCAGGGGCGTGGCCAAAGAAAAGGGAAAAATGGCGGACAGCCTTGTTTGGCGACCCCCGTGAAATGGTCGTTCGACCCCAAATGGGGTCCCGACCCACAGGTTGAGAACCACTGTCTTAGAGCCTGACATAATAATGTAGCAATGGGTTCACTCTTCAGCAATTTGTGAGAATTAAGTTATAATGTACATCGAAGCCTGATTGTCTTTCAAAACAGGAGTGCTAAGAAATACCATTTCTTCTTACAGCGGAGTGTTAGAGCCCAGAGAAGCAATCACATGAGATGTTGTCAGAGAAGAACTGGAAGGATACAAATGGAGTTGAGGTTGACTATTGCCCTCAACAGGCTGGAGATCACCAGACCCAAGAGTATTCTTCCAGAAGTACACCTATTCAAAGGACCATGGTTACTATCACGCCATGCCAGCTGAAAGATGGTCTACTGAGCAATGAGTTCACATGCCTTTTAAGGGTTTAGGTCTAATGCTCGGATTTTGTGTTCATCAAACAGAGAAAATTATCCATTGGTAAACTCAAAAGTTAGTATGAATGAGGTCAGCAGTTTTTCTGGCAATTCAGCCATCAGTTCTGCCAGCCACTAGGATGTGATGGGATAAGAGGAAGATGGCCAGTTTGGTTGGGGTTTATTTATTGAACGTGGTGAAAAACCATTTCTCAGTCCCGGCCTAGCTGATAGATGTGATGCTGTGCTCCCCGTTCGCTTGCAGACACTTCAAACACAAAGGCCACACACAGTAGCAATTCCTGAGTTTCTTGATCTCGCAAAACCTGTTTGGAAACGAGAATAACAGTTTTTATTGGCAGAGATCCCTAGTTGGCTCATGAAGCAAATCAACCCGTAACACAGAGCAGATGCATTTAACCTCCTAACCCCCTTTCCAGGGAAATTAACACAATAGAAGAAATACAGGTAATCCTCGACTTACAACCATTTCTTTAGTGACCGTTTGAAGTTATAATGGCACTGAAAAAAAGTAACTTATCCGTTTTCACACTTACGCCCATTGTAGCATCCCCATGGTCATGTGATCAAAATTTGGGTGCTTGGCAACTGGCATGTACTTATGACAGTTGCACTATTCTATGGTCATGTGGTCACTGTCTGTAACTTTCCCAGATAGCTTCCGACAAGCAAAGCCTATGGGGGAAACCAGATTAATGCATGCATGATTCACTTAACCATGTTAAAAAAGGTTGTAAAACAAAGCAAAACTCACTTAACAACTGCTTTGCTTAGCCACAAAAATGTTAGGCTTAGTGGTGTTTGTAAAATGAGGACTACTTATAATGTCAAGGTTTCTGGTACCTCCTCAATCAGCTCTTTTATGGTAGGGAGTAGCCACTGAAACCCTACTTAATTGTGGGGCTAATCTTGGCATTTCCTTCCCCTTCTGTAACGTGTCTTTCCTAATTAGTTGATGCATTGTAGCATTCCACTACAGATAGTGGACCACAATTGAGCCCAAAATTTATGTTGAGACATTTGTTAAGTGAGCTTTGCTCCATTTTACGATGTTTCTAGCAATAGAAAATGAATCACTGCAGTTGTTTAAGTTAGTAACATGGTTGTTAAGTGAATCCTGCTTCCCCATTGACTTTGTTTGTCAGAAGGTCACAAAAGTTGTTCACATGAACCCAGGATACCACAACCATCATAAATATGAGCCAGTTGCCAAGCATCCAAATTTAGATCACATGTCCACGGGGATGTTATAACGGTCGTAAGTATGAAAAATGGCCAGAAATCACTTTTTTCAATGCTGCTGTAATTTTGAATGGTCACTAAACAACTGTTGTAAGTTGAGGACTACCTGTATTTTATTAACTATTAACCAATTTATTAACTATTAACCAATTAAAACTAAGTGTATTATACATAAATATGACCATTCTAGAGGATATGCTTTGGGATCCATTGTTCCTGGGACCACTTACTGTCTTCTAGATTCTTCCAGGTGGAACCTGGTGCAGTTACCAACATTAAAATAAAACATATTGAAAATGCACATTTTAGCATCTCAATGTTACCAAATCTCACTGAATTTGGGGAGGTATCTTACATATTGGTGATCTTGTGATTTCAATTTATAAAATATAAATTAGTAATCCTCCAGGCATCCTTGGGAGGATCATGTTGCTGAATCTTTATGTGACAGTTCTCACCAACACTTTCAATGATGATGGAGAAAGTCATATAAAAAAGGCTGGAAATTGATATTTTCAACGATGCATTTGTGAATCACAGCAGGCAGCACAACCTTAAAAAGGCACTACCTTCTCAACCCAGGTGTCTATGGAGATTCTCAGTTATCCAGGTCTTACCGGTAGTTATCCCAAAGATGCTTTTTCACGAGGCAACTGGACTCTCTTGTTTTTCTTTGAAGACGTTTCGCTTCTCATCCAAGAAGCTTCTTCATTGTTTTTCTTTTTTTTCTTTTGAAGACCATCTAGTCAGAGCTGAAGAAGCTTTTTGGATGAGAAGCGAAACGTCTTCAAAGAAAAACAAGAAAGTCCAGTTGCCTCCTGAAAAAGCACCTTTGGGATTTTCAACCCAGGATGCTTCTCGGGCAGTAAATGAAACTGACAATTTGAGGTTCTTATATAAGCATATAAAATATCTTTTTATCTGCTCAATTAAGTCAGGGACATATTTAAAAAAACAAAACATTTAATGACTATTCTCACTATTTAATTGATTAAATGTCCCAGATGTAGCCTTAATTGCACCTTACTCATTTTGAGATGCTTGGGAAAGAAGGGATCAGATAATCAAATAGTACTCCATAAAAATCAACAGGAGAAGAGGTTCTGGACCAGGTTTAACTTGCCTGGCACTCCCAGAGAAGGAACCAGCATAACTAACTTTTGTTTCATGCTTAAACAAGGCTCTCAAAGAGGCCGTAGCAATTTTGTAAAAAGTTTTACACTAAGTTGGTGTTTCTCAACCTTGGCAACTTTAAGAAGTGGACTTCAACTCTCAGAATTCCCCAGCCATCATATGTCATAAAGTTAGCAAGGTAGAGAAACATTGAATTAAGCCCATCGAGAATTAGAAACTGAAGTAAAACTGAAGTTTGGGCAAAATTTTCTGTCTCCACATTGTTTCCCTATGGAAGTATAGTTTTGACTTAAAGTTCTTTCTCACCCTCCCCTTAATTTCTTTCCCTATTAAATACCTGCAGGATAGTGAAATTTTCAAGCACGCTATCCATCATTGGTTTTTCTGGCAATGTTTGTAGTTTGCGAATAAAATTAATGAGGTACTCGCAGAGTGGCGAACGTTGCATACGGAAAACAAAGCGGCCATCTTCCCAGTGAGGGGGCTCGGCTGTCTGGGGAATCAAGTGGAACAGATAATCGGAAAGTAAGACAGATCAGACAGAAGCCCCAAACTTACAACCATACATGTGTACTTTTAGCAATCAATTTATTTTTTTTAAAAAAAATTTTTTATCCCATCATTATTACTTTTAGGTATAAGTATTTCAAGCCAGCGAATATATATAACACTCTTTCCTCCTCCTGTTTTCTCCACAAAACAACCCTGTGAAGTGGGCTAGGCTGAGAGGGAATGACTGTTGCAAAATCTCCCAGCCGGCTTTCATGTCTAAGGTGGGACTAGAACTCCCAGACTCCTGGAGATTGGCCCCATATTATCCAGCAGGCTTTTGTGCCTAAGGTGGGATTAGTCTCCTGCTGATTGGCCCAAAATTATCTAGCTGGCTTTTGTACCTAATGTCAGACAAGAACTCACAATCTCCTGGTTTCTAGGCCAACATCTTAACCACTACTTCCAAAACTGGTATATTTTACAAAAGTAACATGAGATTTATTATTCTAAATGAAAAACAAATACAGGCAAATTTCATTGATAACAGGAACACTTTAAAAAAAAAACAATAACACCCACCTTCCCCAGTTCTTTTGCCTGTTTCTCATCCAGATTTTTCCATCACTGTCTTAAATCACTTCAACTTTACTTTCCCAAGCCTAATTTTATGAAGCCCAAACCTTTTGCTTCTACAGGCAAACGACATTAAAAATCTGATTTCGTGTTTCTTGGCAAGATGTATGGACTTCAACTACCGGAATTGGTAATGCTGACTAGAGCATTTTGGGAGTTGGAGTCCACACATCTGAATATGGCCAAATTTGAGAAACACTACACTAATATCTGTAGATTTTAAAAAAATCTAGCACACTAAGGGAAAAGATTTTGGCCCATCCAGTTCTTGATGTGGTAGTTTTCTGCTGAAAAATAATCTGTAACATAAAGGCCAATTGCAAATTTGTTCTGCATTATACTCCTGGAGTTCAATATACCTGCATACATATAAGGCCTAAAACTCTTAATAGTTAGTGGGTTTTGAGCTTAGTTTTTTTTAAAGCAATGCCTTTGCTCTGAAAGCCTTTCTTGCCCAAACCCCAAACGAATCTATTCCTGGGATTTTAGTTGCTTATGATGCAAAAAGAGATTATTATGTAGAAGTCATATTCAATACCAGTTCTGGTTTAACTATGATACCCTAAAGTCAGCAACCACTACGGATTATAGTCTTGCTGTCTGGGGGATTATGGGAATTCAACTCCAGTACAAGTAAAGAGCACACGAGTTAGAAAGACCAGCCTAGGCCAGGGGTAGGCATCCTCGGCTCTTTTATGACTCACGGACTTCAACTCCCAGAATATCTGAGTCAGTTATGCTATGCCTGGTCTAGACCAAGACATTCACAGCGTGAAAAGTAGTCATAGTTTTGGTCTCTGTACTGAGAATCCTGAAGTTTCCCTTGTCTCGAGAAGGACCGAGGAAGCCAAAAGGAATAACAAGGAGATCCTCAGAAGATTTCCCAGTGACCTTTCTCCTATTGATTATTTCCCTCTCTCTTTATCTTCTAAGATCAGGCAAGATGGAACTTTGTGTGGTCCCTCCAGACTGCAATTCATTTTGCCAATACTGGAAGTCAGATTCCAAAAACCTGTAAAGTGCTACTTTAGATTCTGCCTCTAGCCAATGAACACAGAGAGAAAATCCCTTCTTTCCCTGTCTATTTATTTTATTTTAATTTTATTTATTTGTCAAACAAAAATTACAAATTCGAACGAGCAAAATGAAAAAATAAAATAAAATGAAATTAGTGACAAGGATGATAGGCACGGTAGTGCATATACGCATGCCCCCTTAGGAACCTCTTAAATATGGGATGAGATCCACAGAAGTTGATTAGAATTAAAAATGTGAAAGTTAGTAGCTGAAACAACTGAATCGGATAAGATATTCCAGACTTTGACAATACTGCCTATCTCCTTCAATTTTTCTACTGGAGAATGTCAGTGTTGCCAAGGCTGGATAATGCTGTGCTAACAGGCCAAATACTGTAGTCAAACTTGGAACAAGGCCGCTTTTTAGCATGGTTGCATGCAACAATCTTTAAATTCTATGACTGGGTTTCTTAGCCATAAATTTACAACACTCTGCTCCCCACATCCCACCCTGGCTTGACCCAGCATGGCCACCCTCATCTCTGCCCTCAGTCTCATAACTCCTCCCTCACCACACCCACCTCCAGTTTTTCCACCACCTGTTTGCCAAACGAGCAGACTTTGGAGGTGCAACTGAGAGTCAGAGCCCGTGGGCCCTCGTATCGGCTGCTCACCCCATAGAAGATCCCTCCTGTGCCTCCAGGTTCTTTTTCAAGGAGGGAAAAGCTTAGGTCAGCCTAGAGCAAGAGATTGGAAAACAATCAGAAGTGTTTTTAATGACTGATGCAAGGGTGGGATAAAGATTAGTGAGTGTTATTCTCTAGAACAGCAGTCCACCTTTGTGGCATGGCAGCCCAGCTGGGGGGGGGAAGAGAGGGGAACTGGGCCATGCGAGCAATTGGCCAGTGTGCACACGTGCGTGCAGCTCGACTTACACGAGTGGCGAACTGGCATGCACGCGCGCAGATCGAACTTGAGAAAAGGGGCAAGCTCACTACTTGCAGAACTCGAGCTACATGTGTGTGCGCTCCAGCCAGCCACTCGCACGACCCAATTCTGAATAGGTCACGACACGGGAATGGGCCGCAGCCTAGAGATTGGGGACTCCTGCTCTAGAGTAGTGAAATGGCATCCCCAGTTATTAAACAACGCATCTATTTATTTCAGAAGCTGGGAGCAAACAGCAAAGAAAAAGAAATTGCTCATCTCAATGGCCCTGCTTATAATTTTCCTAGAATATATAGGTAATCCTCAATTTACAACCACAATTGGGACCAGAATTTCTGTTGCTAAGCAAAGAGGTTGTTCAGTGAGTCATGCCCAATTTTACAATCGTTTCTGCAAGTTTTGTTAAGTGAATCATTGCAGTTACATAACTCACAATCCAGCTTTCTCCATTGATTTTGTTTGTCAAAAGCTGGCTAGGAAGGTCACAAATGGCAATCAAATGATCCTGGGATACTGCAATGGTCATAACTGTCAGTTACCAAGCATCTAAATTTTGATCACATGACCATGGAGATGCTGCAATTGTCGTAAGGGTCAGCTGAAAATGGGTCATAAATCCCTTTTTTCAGTGCTGTTGTATCTATGAACAGTCAATATTGTCTGGGACACCACACATCCTCTTCACAACCTGTTTTCCTTGTTACCTTCTGGGAGGAGGCTCCATGGTATCCAAAGCAGAACATCCAGATTCGGTCACAGTTTCGTTCCAATACAGTGTTAACCTTGTGAACTCTCAAGCTTTCTCCTTCCGTTATGTATTCAAGATGAACAGTGATTAATACTTATATGTTACTTATATGTAAGGTCTATACGTATGTTGTTTATATTATGTTTAAATGTGTGTTATGTATGTGTGTACTTGAGAGCAAGCAACTAAATTTCATTTTTAATGTGAGCCATTGTAAAAAAAAATGAAATTAAAGGTTATCTATCTATCTATCTATCTATCTATCTATCTATCTATCTATCTATCTATCTATCTATCTATCTATCATCTATCCATAAACAGATGGTTGTAAGTTGAAGACTATTTATATGGAATTTCGGACTACGGACAGCATATATCCCAGAATCCAAATAAAGCGTAAATAAAGGAATAATAATTATTTTTGATTTGTATTTAGCACAAATGATAAATACCTAACACTACTACATTCAGCTTTTGTTGATTTTAAAAATAATGACATTATTTTGAACATGAAGATGTGACTTGGAGCACTTTTTGGAGCACTTTATGGTGCAAGCGGAAGTATGTGGCTGGGCAGGCAATATAAAGTTTTAATGCATCCAACAGTTCTAATATTTGTTCTTGATATAAAGCTATTTAAGGTGACTTTTAATTACACAGGGTTAGAATCCAAATATCTCTGCAACAGTTATATTGATAAAACCTCCCTGTTTCTAATTTACTAGCTGTGAGAGAGTGAGACTTGAGGATTGCCACTTTTCATAATTGAAAAGGGATTTGTACTGAGGTCACACACCAACAAGGAGCTGTTTAATTCATTAGCTTAGTTTTAAACTCAGTCTTGAGAATGACTTGACTGCTGCTGCTAACCAACAAATATATGTGCGTGTTGCAGCAAGCCATTTTGAGAGATGTGGGATGACTGTTTTCAGATGTAGGTGGTCCTTGACTTACTACAGTTCATTAAGTGACCATTGAAAGTTACTACGGCACTGCAAAAAAGTGATTTATAACTGTTCTTCATGCTTACAACCATCTCCATCGTCATGTGACCAAGATTCAGATGCTTGGCAACTGACTCATATTTATGACAGTTGCAATGTCCTGAGGTCATGTGATTCCCTTTTGTGGCCTCCTGACAAGCAAAGTCAGTGGGGAAGCTGGATTTACTTAACAACTGTGTTACTAATTTTAACAATTGCGGTGATTCACTTAACAATTGTGGCAAGAAAGGTCGTAAAATGGGGCAAAATTCACTTAACATCTGTCACGCTTAGCAGCAGAAATTTGGGCTCGAATGTGGTCTACCTACCATATATATCTCAATTACCAGCTCTGAACATCTGAAACATGGATAAGCAACTTGCAAATGTTTGAACTACAACTCCTACAAGTCCTTGCCACTAGCCATACTAATTAGAGCAGATGGGATTCAGATTGCTAAGCATCTGGAATACATCAGGTTAGTTTTGTGGACTCCACTCCAAATCTATCCACTGATCCCTGCAATCTGGTTACTGATATCAACAAAACACAGTTTCATATGAGCAGTGATCATAAATCTGTTTCCCAGCACAGCCTGCTTGCATTCCTGATGATTTGGGGTATATGACTTGTGGACTTCAGCTCCCAGAATTCCTCAGCCAGGCACACTGGCTGAGGAAGTCTGGGAACTGAAGTCCACAAGTCATAAAAGGGCCAAGTTTGAAGAACCCTGATTTGGGGATTCAATGAGTAAAAGAATTTTTACCCAGAATTTAACCAAGAAGAAAGCATGAGGAGGCCCTTGATCATACAAATCTCGCAGTCCACCTCCCTTCTCTGGAAACTTATCATAGATCTGGCGTACGTCCACCATCTCCAGAGCTGACTCAGAGGTGGGTGTTGGGTCAATGTGAACAAAACGATGCTGCTGCTTACGCTATGAAGAAGAGAAAGCCAAGTCAGAGCTGTCAAATGAACATAACCTGCATTACCTCACAAATTGTTTTCTGGAGCTCTCAGGAACTTGCTGAGAGGCAGGCAAATCCTACCAAAAAGTGTGTCCCCTCTGAATACAAAGATGCAGTGGAGAACAAGGATGCTATTTATTGGTGACAGTAGAGCATTAGGCTATTGCAAGATTGGGACTATCCTGATGTATGGCAGACTTTATACACGGTCACTCAGCAATTTCAAGATTTGCATACAATGGCATCTACCTGACATACTGTCATTAATAGGCATAGCCTTTCCAACTTGGAACTCCTCAGACATCCTGGATTGAACTTCCAATGTAATTAAGTGGTCATGAGATAGGTGAAAGGTATGTTTTTTTTCAGATAATTTTTTTACAGTTAAGTTTTCATATATGTATGTATGTATGTATGTATGTATGAATCCAGCCATTTTTGTTTGAAATCCATGTTTTCAGATCTTAGTGCAGAGTTTCTCAGCAGCTTGAGGATATGTGGACTTCAGCTCCCAGAACTCCCTACCCCTGCCCTAGCCAATGTGGAATTCTAGGAGTTGAAGTCCAGATGTCTCCAAGTTATTGGTGTTAGAGAAACATTGCCTTAATATGTTGGGTGAAACCAACTATTTATGATGTATTTGATAAATCATGGTTAAGCAAATGATGCTTAGCATAAAATATAAACACATTTACCTATTATTACTTAGAGCTAACATTTTTCATTCCAAACTTTAATTCCAAACATTCAGACAATTAGGTTTTACCCCATACAATTTTTCAGGCTTGACTTCCAGATGGTAATCGGCCTGCTAGCATCTTAAAGTTTAAATTCTATCTTTACTTCATCTGGTTGTTTTACTTTTATTCCCAATCCATTCCAACTGATTGAGATAACCTATCCTTCCTCCAAGAACTCTACTCTGTTTATCCTGTCTTTCCTGGATGAAGTAAAGAACTTTTTTTTCCTCATTATTCTCTTAATAACTCTGGAGCATTTGCTAGAAAGACTGTTACTATCCCAAATAGGTCACCGAGTTTCACCACCAAGCAGGACCTAGCATTGTTTCTCTAGCTTTAGTCTTATTACAGTCAGTTTTACCATTCCTCAAACTTTTCAAGGCAAGTTTATTCCAACAGATGGGAACAGCAAGGGAGCACTGAAGGGCACAGGTGCACCAGTTTTACCGTATCTCGTTCACTCTGCCGCTCCACAAAAGCAGTAAACTCCACTAGTCGCAGTGTTTCTGTACCAATATGGCTTCCTGGCCAAGAGGTAGTTGTGGTGGGGAGACAAGAGCCCCTCCCTGGAGTGGTGGGATAACCTGACAAGCCAAGAGAAAAAGACCTGTGGCTAATGGAACGTATTCCCATTTTAGTAGTACAAGGTAGCCTTTCTTAATGATAGTAATTGGGACCATCAACAATAAAGTTACAGAGAGTGACATTACATGACTGCATTGACTTAGGATGGCAATTGTGGCAATCCCAGTTGCTATTGTTAGGTGAATCCCACATAATCACAGCATCCCATATTCACAGAATTGCTCTTTGTGACCTCCTGCTGGCTTCCCCATTGACAACTTTGCTTGTTGGAAGACAGCAGAGAAGGTCGCAAACGGTGATCACGTGGTCAGGGGAAACCGCAACATCGTAACTGTAAGTTGGTTGCCAAGCATCCAAATCATGATCATGTGGCTGGGTGGATGTTACAATGATCACAATGACAAGGAACTGTTGCAAGTCCCCCTTGTTCAGTGCCATTGTAACATGGAACACTTGCCAATCAGATAGTCATTCTATGAGGACTACCTGTAAGGTAACAAATGGGTGATGGAAAGAGGAATGATGCTTACCTGGGGCAGCAGGTGATGCTGCAATTGGTGTGATGGGATATGGTGGCTGGAGGATGGGCTTGATACTGAAGAAAGGGAGGACACATAAAGAATTGAAATCTAGCACTTCCATAGAAAATGCTCCAGAGATAGAGATGAACATGTTGGTTTCAAAAAGATTAATCCAAAACTTACTCTGGAGTAGATTGGCCTTGGTTTACATCCCCTGCCCAGAAATGGAAAAAGTCTGTGGATTGCTGAAATCAGAAAGAACATTTAGAAAGAGAGAGGTGTGGTGGCGCAGTGGCTAGAATGCAGTATTGCAGGCTAATTCTGCCGGCTGTCAGCAGTTTGATTCTCAGTGGCTCAAGGTTGACTCAGCTTCCATCCTTCTGAGGTTGATAAAATGAGGATTGTTGGGGTTAATATGCTGACTCTGTAAACCGCTTAGAGAGGAATGTAGAGCACTGTGAAGCAGTATGTAAGTCTTAAGTGCTATGGCTATTGCTATTTAAAATAGTCATACCATTCCTATACTATATAATACAAACCAAACTTCTTTTGCAAATATGGAAATATTCTTTAATTGACCAAAACAGCACCCATAATTCAATGTAACAACAATTTGTTTTTAAAGGAAATGTATGTAAGTTTTATAAATTGCAAATACTGTTAGAAAAAGCATTCTCTTATATAAATAAAAAAGTACACCTACTACGATACAGGCATAAATCATCAGAAAATATGTGCTATTTGCTTAAAAATATTCTGATGAACTTGATGCCAATTTGTCAGCTACAGGTAGTCCTCAATTTGTGACTGTAATTGAGCCTAGAATTACAGTCATAAGTCATGCCAGCCTTTAAGTGGGTCATCATGTGACCAATCCAATTTAACAACATTTTTTTCTGGTGAGCATTAAAGTCATGGTTCTTAAGCAAACCCATTGTCTTCACTGGGCGTTTTGTGCTGGAAACTGGAAGTAAATGCCAAATTCCGGCAAAAAAATGTCATAAATCATGGTCATGTGACCATGGGATGCTGCAAACAAATATGGGCTGGTTGCCAAGCGCTCAAAATAGGATCATGTGACTGCAGTGGGGGACTGTGCATCGGAACTTCGAATCTAGGTCAGAAGTATCTATTTTGGGGTAAGTCGAGGACTACATGTAGAGGCATATAACTAAAGTCAAGGACTACCTATAGAGCAGTGGTTCTCAACCTTTTTAATGCCGCAACCCCAACCGGTCGTAAGTCGAGGACTACTCAACCGGTCGTAAGTCGAGGACTACTCAACCGGTCGTAAGTCGAGGACTACTCAACTGGTGCAGCACCATTTGCAGAATGGGACTTTTGGCGGGGTCAGCAGGGCAGAGACAGCCTGGACAATTCCAAAAGCCAATAGAATAAAAGGGAGCAGCACAGCTAAGGAAAAGGAGGAAAAATGGCGGACTGCGTTGTTTGGCGACCCCCGTGAAATGGTCGTTCGACCCCAAATGGGGTCCCGACCCACAGGTTGAGAACCACTGCTATAGAGAGTCATATAACTAATCAACAGAGAGTTCTTTCACCAGACAAATGTCCTACTTAAGCAGATCATTTGACAACCTGGTCTTCCCTCAGACAATGCTTTCAGAAAGAACATGCAGAAAATTCCTGGAAGCTCCCCAAACCACAATTTCCAAGATTCTTCAGGGGAAGCCAAGGGTTAAACTGCCACAAACTCCAATCTGAAATCTGCAGCTTGAGAGTTCCCCTGAAAAGAGCTCCAGAGAAATCCCAGCTCATAGCCTTTCCCCCCCACATCTGCTTACGGTGGTGGTGCTGGGTGGATAGTGAGCTTCCGACAGGCCTAGTTTCTCCTGGAGGATAGCGGCTGAAACAAGCTGAGCAGAAGACATGGCTGCCATACTCTGAAGTGCTTTGTCCTTTGCTACTTGATCCTGGGTGGCAGAATGAGGCAGGAAAGCAAGACATGTTCTGTATTTTAGAAGATCATTTCATTTGCTATATGAACTCAGGTTGCCCTTTCTGCATAGATTACTCTACCAAGGAAACCTTGCATGCATTGAAATTGCAGCGGGCTTCCTATGAGGAGTGTCATTCTGGGATATCCAGAAGTTTTCCTTCCTTCCTTCCTTCCTTCCTTCCTTCCTTCCTTCCTTCCTTCCTTCCTTCCTTCCTTCCTTCCTTCCTTCCTTCCTTTCCTCCCTCCCTCCCTCCCTTCCTGCCTCCCTTCCTTTCCCTTCCCTTCCCTGTTCCTAGCACTCCTCTATTCATTATCAGCCTCATCCACCTCTTATATCTGACTAAATAAAAGCTAAATACATGCTTGTCTCTGATCAGACCTAGAACAGGGCTTTTCAACCAGTGGTACAGGTACCACCTGTGGTACATTGGCACCTGGCAGGCGGTACGTGACCATCCTAGAAAAGTGGTAACAGGGGAGGGGAATGAGCGAGAGATGGCTGGAGCTGCAGGGCTGTCAGGGCTCAGCGGAAGCACCAGAATCAGTGCTGCTTTCCAGCTGATTGGCGCTTCTTTGGGGCTGTCAGGGCTCAGTGGAAGTGCCAGGATCAGCGCCAGGCTCCAGATGGAGCTCAGCACTGATCCTGGTGCTTCTGCTGAGCCCTGAAGAAGCACCAATCAGCTGGAAAGCAACACTGATCCTGGCGCTTCTGCTGAGCCCAGAAGAAGCGCCAATCAGCTGGAATGTTGCAGCCTCTCCAGGGTCTTGTGATTTACATTCAGATGCTTGGCAACTGATTCATATTTATGACGGTCACAATGTCCCAGGGTCATGTGAAGTGACCAAAACCTGCTGCAACCACCCAGCAGACAGTGGGAATAAAAACCAAACACGTCCCCACCCCCGCTGCCAATCCTCAACAGAAATGCTCACAACAATGAAAACCTCGGACAGGAGGAAGAGCGCGGCCAGGCAAGCAGGCAGGTGACTTGCTCGGCTGTGGCTTGGGGGGCACTTTTTTCAGTGCCATTGTAACTTTGAACGGTCACTAAGCGAACTGTTGTAAGTCGAGGACTACCTGTACTTTATCACTTTTTTCCTTTTTTTTTTTGGTCATCAAGGTTTTGACACCTTTCTAGGCGTCTGGTGGTACTCAGATGTTGCCATATCCTAAAAATGGTACAATGGGTAAAAAGGTTGAAAAACCCTGACCTAGAAGATTACCACGTGGTGCTTGAAACCTGGCACTGTATTTTAAATTTGTTGTGGGTTACAGTGCCCTCTTGATTATAGGCTTAAAGGCATTCAAAATGACAGCCATTTTGAATTCACATCTGCTGGTCTGCAACTTCGTGTAAAATGTGGAGCATGAAGGATTAAAAGAAGAGATTGGGACAACCATCTGTCTGAAATGGTGTAGGGTTTCCTGCCTGAGCAAGGGTTGGACTAGAAGACCTCCAAGGTCCCTCCCAACTCTGTTATTCTATTATAAAAAATGACTCCACTCATGTACTCTCTTTCTCTAAGCTTTCTCTTTCATTGTGCTGTGCTAACATGTCTATCAGTATCTGACAGCTCTTCCATGATGGAATTTAGGGTGCTGCACATTGGGTTCACAATTGGATCCCCATCTATGTGCTGACCAAACCGAGACCCGCTTAGCTTTAGGTATTCTCAGATCACGTCATGTTGGGTAGGTTTAATATCGCTAGCCTCAACCCCTTCATTAAAGCAAACAGTCAAGAACTGTATCTAGAATCTTTACAGCCTAGACACTTTAAAAAAAAAAGTCTACATCACCTCAGAAAAATTTAAACAAAATCAAAAGAGATCCCATCATCTCAAGAAAACTAGGACTCCAGATTTGCAATTAAATTTTTCTCCCAATTATTATGCCTTCCACTAAATTCTATTCCCTGCTACCTGAGAATTATAATTCAAATTTCAAACACTTCATCCTATCCTTGTCAGGTTAGAGAGTCCATTTACTGGAATGCAGTCAAACCCACACACCCAAAACCATCTCTTTCCTTATCTGCTGTAACCCTTTCAACCTGCCTTGGAATGGGTGGGTACAGAAGATTAGCAAAATATGACATTTTGCTTGCATACTGAGTTTAGATACTTTATCAGATACAGAGCCATGCACCCAATTCATTATGAGTCATTCTTTTAGAAAGATAGATGTATAAGCTTAGTAGGAATTAGTCAAAAGTGGTAGGGAAATCTCTCACTTTGAGCTTGGCTTGAATCTCTCGCGTTTTTCGCCGGGCCAACACCTGGATATGACTGGAGACCTGAGAAAGGATTCAAAGAGAGACAAAACATGAAATGGTTTGAAAGAGAAGGCAGCAGATTTCATTCCAACTCTCTCAAGGTTTTTTCTTGTGGTTTATAACTCCCTGCCAAACCCTTCTAGTTTACCTGTTTCCTTGTCCGTGTTTTCCCAGTCCTCAACTTGATGTAACGAGCAATGAGCTCATTACGACCTGCAAGACAAAAGAAAAAAAATGGGAAAAGAGAAAATAAGAAAAACAATTGGTAAATCAGAAATATTATCTGCCATTCTGAGCTCCATGTGGGACAGGGACGCTTTTGCAGGTCATTCGGTATGGCCATGCCATTGTTGGTAAACCAAATGGCTACATTACCAGAGGGATGTCAGGTGTCCCAAATTCCGGATCATTTGGATAATTAGGTGCCCAGATTTTAGGGTTAGGGATAGATAGATAGATAGATAGATAGATAGATAGATAGATAGATAGATAGACAGACAGATGAGAGGTGAATGGATAGATAGATAGATAGATAGATAGATAGATAGACAGACAGACAGACAGACGAGGGGTGAATGGATGAATAGATAGACAGACAAAGGGTGAATGGATGGATAGATAGATAGACAGACAAACGAGGGGTGAATGGATGGATAGATAGATCTGCACGTCATGTGCCATAACTCTGAGTGACACACATAACAATAAAATCATTAAAAACAACAAAAACTCCCAGCACCCCAAAGGCAACACATTTCTACACACCCACATTCAAATGTACTAGGCTCTAACTTCACTCAGCCTCCGGCTGGAGAATTCTGGGAGTTGAAGTCTGCATGTCTTAAGGTTGCCAAGGTTGAGAAACATCTTTCTAATTCTAAAATGCTGCCAATTCCCTCTGTTTTGTCTTTATGAGAGCCTCAAGAAGATTCACTGTATACAGTTTCACTGCATTCAGGACTATGACATCCAAATATGATCTCCAGCTGACTTTGCATTTATCTTTATGTTTTTGGAGAGATTAGAATCATGTTCCTTGTTTTCAAAATGAACCCAATCCTACATGTTTTTTTTTAATTGTATTCTGTAGTACCCACAATCATTTTCATAGGGAACCATTGGATTGGAAGGGATCTTGGAAGTCTTCTATCTAGTCCATCCCTTCTCAATGCAGGAATGCAAATTCGGGATAGGGAAGCAGAAGCTCACATGTCTACCTACCATACATCTTTCCCTCGTCTGAAAGAATAATTTTGCGCCTCCCACAGGGTGGGTAGATTGCCAGGGCCTCCTGGAAACTCTGTTCGATGTCTGGGCTCCACACCCCTTCGGCATCATTATCCAGAACCTTTTCCCCAGCATCCCCCATCTCTCTGGAGGGGCTGGCTTCCTTTGCCCAGCTGCCAGGCTCTATAATGCCAGGAGAGATACCTAGGACCAAAGAAGCAGAAGAAATGTTGAATCTGAGTTAAGGCTTCGCAAACCAATTCAACAAGAGCAAAAAGGAAAGTGGTCCATTTAAGGAAATGTTTCCAATCTAATGTTTTCTAGCTACAGGTAGTCCTCGACTTACAACCGTTCATTAGGTGATCATTCAAAGTTATAACAGCACTGAAAAAAGTGACTTAGGATCATTTTTCACACTTAACGACCGTTGCAGCATCCCCAAGGTCATGTGATCAACATTTGGAGGTATGGCAATTACAGTGTCCCGGGGTCATGTGATCACCTTTTGTAACTTCTGACAAGAAAGTCAGTGAGGAAATGAGATTCCCTTAACAACCGTGTTATTAACTTAACAACAGCAGTGATTCACTTAATAACCGAGGCAAGAAAGGTTGTAAAACGGGATAAAATTTGCTTAATAACTGTCTTGCTTAGCAACAGAAATTTTGAGCTCAGTTATGGCTGTAGGCCAAGAATTCCAAAGGATTACCACTGGATTACAGATCCTATCACTCTCAGCCAGCATAGACAAAATAGAGGCTTGAATGTAGAAAAAAACCTGAAAACCAGCTCTCCATGCATCCTCAATTGGGTCTCCAAGTTTTATTAAGACTATTGCTTTGATCACACATTTGGAACTGGTTGGGGAGGATGAAACTGCTCCACCATCATTTGAGAGTCCAAAGACAAGAACATCAGAGATAAATGATTTTGTGTGGCAGCTCTGAAAAGACATAATATTTGCAAAGCTGATATACGTGAAGAGAGACAGACAGAAAGAGAGAGCACTGGGTTACAGATGGGCTAAGAGCCGGACCTTCATAAGAGTTGGCATCATTTATTCTAGCCCAGCCAGGCTTGAAAAAAAGGGCTCAGTTCTCCTGTTTTAGAAAGACAACAAGGAATTTAGATGCTGACAACCTTTTTTCCCCCACAATTTTTGTTTAAATAGGAAGATGGTGTCTGTTAGTATAAAAAAATTCCTTCCCTTCCTTCCTTCCTCCCTCCCTCCCTCCCTCCCAGCATATTTACAATCCACCCTAATCACAAAGGACTCAGGGCAGCCCACAAAATCACCCAAGAGAAAACCAAAATCATCCTAAGTAAACTTGAATAACAGCAAAAAATAACCACAAAAAGCAAAGCAATCACAAAAAGTAAAGCAAAGTTTAATCTCCAAATAAAAATTAATTTTGGCCTACACTTAGCTGGGACTGAAAATGTATCAAAACAAAAGCATTTTAACCTTTTGGGGGGGAATTGTGGTAAGGTGGGGGTTGCATTTAATTTGGAGGGAAGTATATCACAAGCAGGTGTTGGCTGATATATCCTGATGCTGTGGAGTTGCTTTAAAGAATGTCCAACTCTTTGAATTCAGCATGGAAGCCTAACAACAAATGATGCAATAACTTTAATATACATATCATACTGCCAATAATCTTGGTGCTATGCTTAATACTAACTGCAGTTTCAGATTATCTCCAAAGTCAGCTGCAGGTTGAGCCCATCGTGAAGACCACCTGATCAGTATATGAATGAGCAATAAGGATAGATATTGAAATAACTAAATAATCAGTTCTAAAGTCATCAACAAAAAAGGATCTTCAGACATATCTTTACATCCATAGAGTTGAAACTGGAGGTAACTATAAATTCAGAGGCAGTTAAAGTTTTTTTTTTAAATCAGACAAATTTAAATTCTCATGTGTGATCCAATATAGATATTTAAATTCTGCTCTACATATTTTATCCTGCTGTGACTCTTACAGTCAAATTGCCATATTAAAAAAAACTGAATAATTTCATAACAACTGTGTAAGATAGGCTGGCTTGCAAGGCTAGCCTTTTTCAGTCTAGCTCAGAAGAAGCCCATAACTACACTGACCTTTATTGTTAGATATTTGTATAGCTCTCAGGAGATTATAATAGCTTCTGACATCTAGTTATTTTAACAGAGAGAAGTTACTGCTGATATCTGTATTCTAGTCTGTTTAATATAATAATGTTTGTTGGAAAACCAGAAGTGGTTTCGATGGTGGAACACAGTTCAGTGCTGGTTCTGAAAATGTATTCTTATGCCAAACATAGGCTTGGAGATCAACATTATTCCAAGTGTGTATTACTCAAATCATTAGCTGAAGTTGGTAGATTCTTGACCTCAGGAGAGCCAAGAAACATATAAATAGAGCCAAGAAACATATAAATAGAAAGCCTGAAGTCTGCCCATGTTTTGCACCAGGGTAGTCTGGAATTACACTTAGCACAAAGTTATGATTTGTAGGAAATAAGGCCCCTAATGCTCTGTTTCTCAACCCTGCCCACTTGAAGATGTGTGGACTTCAACTCCCAGACTCCCTTAACCAGAACTGGTGGTAGCCCATACATCTTCAAAGGGGCCTAGATTGAGAAATACTGCTCTAATGGGTGATTAGGGAGATCTAATGGGATTGGAAAGCCAAATAAATTTGTCCATTTGGTTTCTCTATCAATTTCCCATTTTCGCTTTAACTTTGTCTAATATAAGCAACATTGGCAAATATATGCATTTTCATATTATTATACAAAAACATTTTGGATGGTTATGTATTCCATTATATACACTTCTTTTACTGGCATACACCTGGAAATAAAAGTATAATCAAGTTGCAACTGAACTTTGGATCACAAATCAGATAAAGCAGGGGTTCTCAACCTTGGCAACTTTAAGGTTGAGAACCCCTGAGATAAAGGCATCTTCAAATGCAGACTAAATAAATATACTTTATTTACTTTAAAATAGGGGTCTTCAACTCCCAGAATTCCTCAGTCTGGCATGCCTGGCTGAGGAATTCTGGGAGTTGAAGTCCACAAGTCATAAAAGGGCCAAGTTTGAAGACCCCTGTTTTAAAACATTTATATAGCCACGCATCTTATGTCAAATTCTGGGTGGCTCCCAATTCCAAACAATTAAAACAACAGCATTATACACAAATCTTTTACAAACATAAACATTAAAAACCTAGCACCAAAATAAGCCTTCCAACATTAAATCCTCTCATTTGCCTCACCCCATGCCAGCATTTCAGGGGGAAGCCAAGTTTTAAATGCTATTCAGAAGGTTGGGGGTGGGCAGACTAGGAGTGATCTTCAAAAGTAGCTCCATATAAAGCACATTGAAGCGCAGGTAATCCTTGAGTTACGACTGTTTGCTTAATGACTATTTGAAGTTATGACAGACTTATGACTCCGTTCTGAAGTCCAACAGCTCCCCCCCCCATGAGGTTAAGTGACATTTCAGGAGCCTGACAACTGGCCTGCATTTATGGTTGTTTGCACAGTCCTCTGGTCATATGACCACATGTAATGACGTTTTTGCCAAAACCTGGCAAAAACTTCTGGGTTTTAGCAAAAGAGGCCCATAACAAACAACTGGTTTGCTTAAGAACCGTAGCGTGACTATCACAAAAATGTCGTAAAATTGGGTCAGTCACGTGGGTGACCCGCTTTATGACTGTCATGGCTGACGACTTTATTGGGCAGGCTTCATTACAGTTGTAAGACAGAACTACTTGTAATTCAAGTGGGAGGTAACCAAGGCATGGGTGATCTCCTTAACTTCTCCTACATCCCTAAGGGAGGGGGCATATAGTCAGAAAAGTCAGGATAGCAGCCACCACAGCACAAAGCCCACCTGTTCTTTACATGCATCCTTGCACATAAAACAGGCAGAAATCTTATTACACTGCTATGGCTGCCATCCTGATTTTTTTTCACCTCACTCTGTGGATCTGTGGATACCCCTGGGGAAAAGCATTCCTAACACACACTGAGCGGGCAGCCAAAACTATAAATTATACTGCAGAAAGTGCTGAGGAGTGTAACAATAATTCTATAGGGAAGGGGTGTCGGAAGGAAGCAGGAAGAATTCTGCTTACCAGTTAAACAAACAAGTGCTAAAGAGGCAAGCTTCCAAAAAGATTTTTTTTTTAAAAAAAAAAAGTGGATTAGAACAAAAGAATAGAACAGAATAAGAGTTGGAAGGGACCTTAGAGATCTTCTAGTCCAACCCCCTGCTGAAGCAGGAAACTCTATACTATTTCAGACAAATAGTTGTCCAATTTCTTCTTAAAAACCTCCAATAATGGAGCACCCACATAAAGACCTCCAATTTACCGATACTGCTTGGGATGATCCATGAGTGCCAAGAATTTTGCATAGATGTGAATTAAGCATTGGTTTGTGTTTGTGAACCATGGCTGATAGCTTAGCACAATATAAAACCAATCAACTGTGGTTTATTCAATAAACAATGATCAAACCTAACTCCGATTACTACAAAAAAGGAATGAGCCTTCAGTGGCTCTTTGATAATCCCTGAGGCTGGCACTCAGAAAGTATCATGCTGGGAAATGAAACAGATCTGAAAAGCAATTTTCTAAAGAGCAGATCACATTCCCCCCCTCCCCTTTCCATATGGAAGTCCAACATATACTAATTAAGCTTCCTCCAGAGAAACTAGATCCCTCAAAAAAAGAAAGAGTGAGCCACCCACCTTCTCTTTGTCCCCCCTCCCAACCTTTGCTGTTTCTTGTCAAGTTGAAACCCAGTTCTCTGCTTGGTTACTCCAGTTCAGATGACCTCTGGAGCACAGTTCATCACAAGACAAAGGAGCCCTCCAGCCTGGATTATATCTTTCATTAAAGACAGGAAGGGGGTTAGTTCTTTCATCTCTGATCGGATTTTCCTTTTCTTTTTACACACAGCATTCGGGCCTCTTGTTTCCTTTGCTTCATCAGCCGCAAGGCTCCAACAGCTACAGATAAATAACTTTTTTTTTACATTATTATGATTATTTTACAAGTACTAAATCACTTCCCTGGTGTAAGATTAATCACAGCCCCCAGCTTCCTCAAAGCCCGGCCAAGGACATAGGTTTGTGGAAGATAAAACAACTGATTTGTTTTGATTTTGCTCTGAAGTTTCCCCCCTGCTTCTGAGAATCAATTTCCAAGTACGGTTAGGGAGGAAAGCTATTATTTTGATGGACGTCCCTTCAACAAAACTCCACTTCACACTTCCAGGGAGTGTTTCCCACTCAATTGGATTTCCTGTTTCTATCCTTGCAATCTCAAAACCACCAATACATAAGTGATTTTCAGAAAGAGGTCTAGTTCTGAAGCAATGAACCATAGAAAGAGATCAAAGGTAATTTTATGTCCTTCACAGAAAAAAAAGTGAGTTCAAAAAAAGGGTGCCTGGCAAACACTTAGCTTACCAAAGAGAAAAAAAAAGGGGGGGGGCAACCCTGAAAGGTGCAATAATTTGCTTCTTGATGGATAAATATTTTCAAAGCAACAATATCAAAACAAATGGGAAGAAAATCAATGCCAAATTGGGCTCCGTAAGTGCTATCATAACATACACCTATACTAGTAATTGCCAAAGAAGATGAGTGTACTGGCCAGCTGTGACAGCACAAAGCTGAAGGGTTTTACTATAGAAATTAGTCAATCAGTCTGAGATGATGTCAATTGCCACCCTAATTATATATTCTTGCTACAACAAGTCTGCACACAAAGATAAAACAAAGAACAGGAAAATATATGAGTGAAGAGGTGAGATCACTCCAGGTACTTGTAATGCAGAATTGTGACACTTGCAGCGTTTTGATTTACTTTATGGAGGGTTTCTTTTTTTTAATAGATTAAGAAATGGTCTGCAGTTGCAAGGGAAGTTAAGAAAAGCAGGCTGCTTGTGCCCTCCACAGAGCAGTAATGGGCCCCAGGCTTTATGCTGTAATTTGAGTAACATAAGCATCCATGTGAAAGGTCATGTTTGTTTTTGGAACAAGTCACATCAAGGTCTTGTGCAAATGGAAACTGCTGTAGCCAAATCTCTCTCTCTCTCTTTCACACACACACAAACACACACACACACACAGAGAGAGAGAGAGAGAGAGAGAGTTAGTTAACTAGGCCTTCTCTCCTTTAAAAGCAACTATTACACACTCACATTAGCAATCTTCATATGAGATGTTACATATGAGACATGACAACCTAATCACAATTCTATGTTAATCTCTGCAAAAAAGTAAAGAATAAACTTTGGAGACTATCCCAAAGATGTTGCTGATGCTACCCATATTCCAAAATAAATCAATGTTGGGAAACTCCCCCCCCCTTTTTAAATCCCTGCTATCAACTCAAGGTACATCATTAAAAAAAAACAGACTTTCTAGGGACTGTTCTAAAATCTTTTCCTAACTGTGATGAAAACATCTGTCAGAACAGCATGGGGGAAACTGAACGGACAAAGATACCAAACTGGAAGATCAGGATCTACCAGTAGACCTCAAAGATGATTTATTGTATATTGTCAATGTTTGCCAACCCCTGAGGTTTAACAAGGCAGCAATAGAAAGGCTATTGACCTATATCTGCACATTTACTAGAACCTCAGTATTCCTGGCTATAAAATGGGGTTTTGTCTATGATGGCTGGCAATTCTGTTATTCAGAACTACAAGTACAAATGAGTAGGCAGAAAATAGGTACATGATTAGATCTCCTGAATCGTGCACAAAAATCACTAGGAATGGAACTTAACATTTACTTATTGATAAATCCCTGAGTTCTATTAAAAAGCAACTGCTGATCCCTTCCCCCCCCCATTTCCCCGATTGTTTTCTTCTAGCATAGAATACAATCCCTGGAAATTACACCCAACAGAATGTCTTCAACTGAACTTGGACTTCCTTCTCCCATAGAATGCAATAAATTACATTTGCTTCAGCCTGTATGGATCCAGATTACAGGTTCTTGGCGGTTCCACTGAATTGTTTTTTTAAACGCTTCGTCTTATGATTTACAATTGGAAAAGTTTTCAACTTGTTAATATGATCCTGAATTCTGACACGCCCACTGTTTTAGTTATCCTCCGTCACCCCCCTCAAGTTTATCATTATGCCTACTCACAAATAAGAAAAATGATTCTTGCTGCTCTTATTATTTTTATTGGGTGCCAGCTATGATTGTAAAGTGGGGCCCATGCACCCCTTCCTGAATTACAGCCCAGTTTCCCAAAATAAAATGTAATCAGCAGTGGAACTTACACACCCTCCATTGAAACTATCAAAGCAGATCCCGTTTGCTCAACCAACCCCCCCTTCCCCCCCTGCCACTGTTACACACTCATACCCTCCTCCACCCGCCACTGTTGCACACTCAGACTAATGAACTCTTGGCTTAAAGACAAAACATTATCAGTTCCCTCCTCTTTCTCCAGACAAAGAAAAACTCCCAGGTACACAATCCATGTATACAAATGACTGAACCTTTTCTCCAACTTTACTTCAAGCTTTCTCATACTGTCTTAATACGTTTTTTCCACGCAAACAGAGGTCTCCGTCTGCTCCTTAAGAACACAGAACGAAAGTAATACATAGTGTATGCGAACAATCTCTTGGAAACACGCACTCATAATTAGGCAACAAATGCTGGTTTTTAGAAACATCCAATAAATTAATAAAAACAGCAGTTCTACATATACATGTCCTTAAAAACCCAGCCCACCACCCCCTGGCATTTATATTCAAATTAACTCCACACACACCCGTAAATACAAAGTTAATTGCACTGTTATTTTCCCCCTCCGCAGCAGAATCCATATTTTTTAATCAGTGTCTTTTCTAATAAGGCTTTTTCCCAGCAAGAATCTGATTAATCACTGATTTAAAAAAAAGGATGAATTGGAAGGGAAAAGAGTCTTACTTACTTTCAGAAGACACTCAAGAGCTTGGTTTTGTGTGTGCTACTGGAGGAGAAAAGGGGGAAAGGAAAGGAAAAACTTTCTCTGAACTTTGCTTTATTTTAAAAAAAGGTTGTGGAGGGCAAGGGAGAAAAAAAAGAGTGAGAGAGAATATGAAGCGTTCCACTAACAGGGTTAATTTTGGCTCCTCCAAGAAGTTCCTGCCCACTCATTAGGATTGGAAAAAAAGATCTAAGATGCGGTAGTGTACGCAAAGAAGCAACAGGCCTTCGTGGTATTTTGGAAAGGTGACAGTTTTCCTCTGGAATCCTTGGAATGAAGCAGAGGAATTAAATTAGCAGCAGTGACTCAGTTTCACAGGGTGGAAGGAAAGGGCGGAGTTGGAGGCAGAAGGGGCGGGACCTAGAAGACTGAAATCACACACCCCCAACGGCAGGAAAATGTTAGACGGGAAAGAAATTGGGAAGAATAATGTGTGGGTACCTTTATTATTATATGTCTTAAAAGTGCTGGGACAAGGAAACACGTGTATAATGGGATTCTGCACTGATCATTTCTAGAAAATTTAGACACTTTAAAAGAAATCTAACAAGCTAATATTCATGGATGAGTATCAGCTAAAATTCAAGCAGTATTACAGGTAAATACTATATGGCTAATTATTTTACTGAATGCCAATAGCTGAAAACAAGAATGGACCGTTGCGTACGGATTCTTCCTGAGGCATCTAGTTGGCGATGGAATGAACCAGATATTGAAATAAAAGCCTTTTATTGGCCTAGATTTGATCTGATTTGATTTATTTCCTGCCTTTGCTGTATAAATAACTCACGGGAGTGAACCAGTGCTTTTTTGTAAGAAAAAAAATGCCAGAACTCACATCTTGTTAATCTTTTATTTTAAAAATTATATATTCAGTTCTTAGCAGGACGGGTGGTTGAGAAGTAATTAGTATTTTTTTTCATTTTTAAATTTGGGGTCACACTTTTACACTAAATTTTTTTTAAAAGATTTTCAATTCACCAATGACTTTTTGAAATAAATATTTTTTTTACCTTTTGCATGCAGTCAATCACTGTACACACACCCACACATGTCAATTGTGTAACAAAACATAACAGTCACCGCCCACAGTAAGCACTCAGCGTGCAACCACACGACCAATCACAAGCCGAGCAGTGCCACACGCCTAGCAGCGCCATCACAACCAGCGCGGACAAAGTATGCATGCATTGGACTCAACGCACAAGTAGCCAGCATGCACCATTTTAATGATTTTGCCACCAACGTGCTACGCTTGACAGGGTGATTCAAGTCCACATGGACCAAACATCAAATTTTCAAAAGTTACTTTTAAAACTTGGAAAATCCATCAAAAAAAAGGTGCCAGAACTCTGTCCTGGTGCGTTCTATGACAGAAAAAGCACTGGAGTGAACATACCTAATATTTCTTCCTCTTCATATTTTCTGCACAACAACTTTGTAAGGTGGATTGGGCTGAGAGAAAGTGACTGACTGAAGTCACCTAGCTGGCTTTCATGTCTAAGGCAGGACTTTAACTCCCAGTCTTCTTTCTAGACTGGTGCTTTAACTACTAAACTGATCACCACAGCCATTGTGAGTTGTAAACATGAATTATAAAACACAGCTTATAGGACCAGCAATGAGTCTCCTCATCCAATGCCATTATAACTTCAAACACCTGCTGAATGAATGGTTGCTAAGCAAGGTTTGTGCAAATCAAACCAATCATTTATTCAGTAAAACATGCCACGCAGATCAGGACACAGAATCAAGACAATTGGTGAAAACTGTCTACGTTCACACATGCTTTAAGTCAAGGTTTGTTTTAATATTGATTTTTTTAAATATCACAGTTCATACATTGGACTAAGCCATAAACATAGCTTGCTGACCACAATGGCTGGGTTTACACTTTAAACCAAAATCAAACAAATCTCTTTATTGTTATAGCTTGGTGTGTGAACTCAGACTCTGTCTGGCAGCTGCTTTCCAGAGTTTTAGATAAGGCTGGGAAAGACTTATCTAAAGTTTCAGATACAAGTGACTTTGGATCTTTCAATTTTAACCCCCCACTCACAGACAACATGATCTAATCAAACAAGACTTATGTTTTACTGTTCCCAGGATTCTTTAGGATGTGTGTAAAACAAGAAAAAGATAAGGGAAAAAGGGTAAAACATTTTAAAATGGAGGATGAATGATAAGACCTTGGGGGACAGAGTACAATCTGTTCATTCAAATAAAGCATTTGAATTCAGACACATGTATTCACATACAAGTGTTGGATTATCACTTTAGGGTAGTCTGCCCGTTGGGTCTTGGGGCCAAAGTTCAGAATACAGGGTTGGAGGGATGCCTTTCATGTTATGAATCTGTTTTTTAGGATTTTCTTAGAGGTAGTTGTTCAGTTACCGTCACATTAAAAGTACAAATAGAAAAAAATTACCATTATATATTTTTTCATATGTAGGATCATTTAGCTTCCATCCCTGTGTGAAACCAGCTATTGTGCTTTGTACAGGGGTTATGGCTATGTACTCTGTTATTCTATTCTATTCTATTCTATTCTATTCTATTCTATTCTATTCTATTCTATTCTATTTCTTTAAATTTATTGGCTGCACAATTCCGGTGGCAGTGTACAAAAGTGGAAAAAACATAAAAACCACTAAAATATTAAATCAGATAGCCCAGATTAAAATAATCCAATGAATGACAAAATCAACAAAAGAAAATGGGTCAGTAAGCGAGTAATAAACTTCAGGCTTACTGTGTTCTGTGAACTTAAGCTACTATATAACCATATTTAAGCAAATCATGGTTGAGTATGATCCAGGATCCCACTCTTATGTATTCACAGAGCACAGTCCTCTAATTGAAAGGCTTGAGATTATTTCATAATATGGTTGTCCAAGTTGCATTGAAAGGAAAAGATCTACAGAACTGTAGAAAAGTTTGATATTGTTCACAAACACCATCTGTCTAGCCCAGACATGTCAAACTCACGACGTCACGTGACATAGCAGATTGAACAGGAAACAGAAAATGTATATCCATCCATACAACGCATAGAAATTGTATGCCATTTTTAAAACATAAATTGCTGCTCTAGTCTTTTATGTCAGTTTCAAAATGTGCTGCTTTAAATCTATTTTCTTTTAAGGAAATAGATGAATTAAATTTTCATGATGCACAATGTAAAAATCGAACTATGGAGTGGGGAAATAGATTTAAACTTCCTATTTGTTAGTTGCACAGTCTGTGAGAGTTGCTGTGATGTGAAAAAAAGGAGGTGAAATCACAGCAGTTCTGCAACAAGACTGATTTTAGAATTTCAGCCCATAGAACAGAGGGATATAAAAGTATAAAACAATGAGTTTTCATGTTTATTTGTTCACAATTTTAAGATGTACTTAATAGATGCTAACAAAAAAATGTATATGTTTATGGAAACCTTTTATGGTTGTATATTAGTATGCTTTTAAAATTATGTTTTGATTACATTGTTGTTTACAATTCTTGTTGAGGGCCTTCTGTTGGCAAAATGGTGGACTATAAATCCCGTAAATAAACAAATACAATAGAATGTGTTGCAATATACATATTGCAAGTGAATATTCAATATTGTTTGGCCAGTAGTAAAGGAAAGGAAATTCTGCTTTAGTACAGTGGCACTAAACTCAGAGTTGTAGAAAGTTGGACACATATTAAATAACTGTCCCAATAAGGAGATTAGAATATTTTGTTCCAGAACAGTGTAAGCATTTCCACTCTCAGGTTTGTGATTTACTGTGTATGAACTCAGGAAGGGAGTTTAGAATGATGTAATTTCTTTTTCCCAGTCATGAATATGCCCCCACTCACTCAATTTTTCCCTGGGGGGCGGGAGGGAAACACATTTCCTGACATTTCGAACATTCAGTAGTGAAAGATTCTAGCAGAGCCCTACCAGTTTCATCGAAACTCTAGGCTGCCATCTAAAGGTAACACAAAAAAAACTGGAATTTTATCAGAACTGAAGAAGCTTCTTGGATGAGAAGTGAAATGTTTTCAAAGAAAACAAAACCCCAAGAAAATCCAGTTGCCTTTTCCAACACAACCATGACCTGGATGATTGAGAATCTCCACAGAGTTTTATCAAAGTTCTTTGTACAGTGGAATTACCATAAATGAAAGTAAATATACATGTCCCAGGATAATGTTGCAGGATCCAATCTGCGTTTGGTCACCGGGGACTAGAGATTTAGTCTTCTAAGCTTTCAAACTTGTGCTGAAGCCCCATCCTCAGTGAACTTCTCACACCCTAGATCTGCGATTCTCATCCTGTGGGTCACGACCCCATTTGGCATCGAACGACCATTTCACAGGGGTCGCCAAACAACGCAGTCCACCATTTTTTCCCCTTTTCCTTAGCTGTGCTACTCCCTTTTATTCTATTGGTTTTGAAAGCCAATAGAATAGACTCTCTTGAATAGAGTCTAATTCTATTGGCTTTCAAAAGCCAATAGGAATTGTCCAGGCTGTCTCTGCCCTGCTGAGCCCGCCAAAAGTCCCATTCTGCAAACGGTGCTGCAAGTTGTCTGCAGCGAAGGCGAGCTGTCTGGAAGTTTCCACCCCTCCCTGCTGAGCAACTACTAAAAATGTAAGTAAAAGAGGGCTAGGGGTGGGAGGTGGGAGGCCAGCAGGCACAGGGAGGGTTGCTGGCACGCATGGGGCCCGGTGGGTGCCTTACTTCTCTTGGGCTGGGCCAGCTGGTGGCCCAGCCAGTGGTCACCCTGCGCCGTTGCTGCCCCTTGCCAGCTACGCCTCGGCCAGCGCAGGGGGTGGCACCATGCATGCGCAGCGCTCCCGGGCAGGGAAAGTCCTCAACTTACAACCGGTTGGGTAGTCCCCGACTTACGACTGGTTGGATAGTCCTCAACTTACGACCTGTTGGGGTTGCAGTATTAAAAAGGTTGAGAACCACTGTCCTAGATGTAGAACTATCATTCTGGTTACGAGTTTATTGTTATATGGAATGACTGATTTAATTCTTGGATTTCAAAATTTTTGTCTACAAGGTAGCTTTCTTACTGTTTCTTCTTTTTTAATAAATCCTGAAAATATCTGTTTCATTGATGATCTTTGCGCAACAGACCAAAGCACAAGGAGTCCAACTACCTTTGACATGCCAGTTTAGTTAATGGTTAGTGCAGTGATGGCGAACCTTTTAGAGACCGAGTGCCCAAACTGCAACCCAAAACCCACTTATGTATCATTAGGTGCTGGGTGGGTGTGGCCCATTGGGTGGGTGTGGCCAATTGAATGGGCATGGCCCATTGGGTGGGTGTGGCTGTGGTGGTAACGGCAGACTGGGTGGGACTAAAAAGTTCAATCAAACAATTCCAACTTTGTGAGATCTTTTTTTTCCCATGAGAAGTTGAAATTGATTGATTGATTGAACCTTTTTTTTTTTTTTGCACACAGCAGCGAAGGCCTAAAGTGAAAAGGTTTTATAAAACCCAGCTGAAGGCCAAGGACTGGGGCGACGGCGCACATGCCCACAGAGAGAGCTCTGTGTACCACCTGTGGCACACGTGCCATAGGTTCGCCATCACAGACTTATACCATCTCAGATAAGTGACTGTCCAGTCTCTTCTTTAAAACCTCCAATAACGGAGTGCCCACAATTTCTGGAGCAAGCTGTTCCACTGGTTGATTGTCCTCACTGTCAGGAAGTTTCTTGTTAATTCCAGGTTGCTTTTCTCCTTGATTAATTTCCAACCATTGTTTCTCATCCTTCCCTCTGGTGCTTTGGAGAATAATTTGATCTCCTCTTCTTTGTGGCAGCCCCTCAGATACTGGAACACTGCTGTCAAGTTCTCCTCTATTTCTTCTTTTCTTTAGACTAGCCAAACCCAAATCCTGCAGTCGTTCTTCATATGTTTTAGTCTCCAGGCCTTGGATCATCTTAGTTGCTCTTCTCTGAAGTTTTTCCAAGGTCTCAACATCTTTTTTATAGTATGGTGACCAAAATTGGTTGCAGTATTCCAGGTGTGGTGTGTTAAAAGGGAGTGGGGTTTGCAGGGAGGAGGGGGAGGAGGAGGAGGAGGAGGAGGAGGACGACTGTGGGGTCCTTGATGCTCTCTGAGTTTGGTTGTTTTTCTTGCAGACATTTCATGACCCAACTAGGTAACATCATCACTGCTAGAAGGAAGTGAGGTGTATGAAGTGCTGAAAGAAAAGGAGAGGAGGAGGAGGACTGTGTATTCCTTGGTGCTTTCTGAGCTTGGTGGTTTTGTTGCAGACATTTCATTACCATACTAGGTAACATCACCACTGTTGAATGGCCCTAAACAAGGATCAACGTTTATTTCCGTCCATGTTAATCAGCCTTAAAATGATCCTTGAGAAAGTGAGAGTTGGACTGTCTGCTCTGTAGCTCTTCCACCCATTAAGATGCCCTCTACTCAGGTGAGACATGTGTAGAGCATCTGATTTTTGAATTTAAGGTTTGTTTTTCTGTTTGGAGCATTAAAACTATTTATGGCAAGGAAGAGAACCTTTTCTTTCTGGATAAAGCAGAGATGGTACAACGGGCTTGTTTTAATTTGCAGAGTTAACTGATGGAATTGTTTATGGGTGCTTATTTGAGTCCTTCTGAGCCTGCCACTTGGGTGTATGTATGTGTGGTGTGGTGTGGTGTGTGTGTGTGTGTGTGCGAGAGAGAGAGAGAGAGAGAGAGAGAGAGAGAGAGAGAGAGAGAGAGAGAGATTCCCCCTTTTAATATTTTGTTTATTTTTAGGAAGGGTTTTTTCCTTATATTTTTTCTTTCCCTTTTCCTATTTTCTCTTTCTGCTTTCCCCTTTATTTTTCCTTTCTTTCCCTTATTCCTTTCCTTTTTCCTTTCCTTTCTTTTCCTTTTCCCTTTCCTTTTCCTTCCCCTATTTCTTCCCTTCCCTTATTCTTTCCCTTTCCTTTCCTTTCCTTCCCTTCCTTTCCTTCTTTCCATAATGATGTCCAAATATCTGTTTTCCCACTTCTAAAATCCAAAACCTATCAACTTCCTTAATACTCTTTTACTTTTTTTCTTTCTTTTTTTTGAACACAGGTAGTTTCTGTTTCCCAGTTTTAATTTCTGAAGTCGGCAGGCAGGATTGGCATATCTGAGGCAGAAAACCATAAAAGCTGGTGTTGATGGGGCTAAGCCAGGCATCCCTTTCTGTTTTTCTGCCAACTGCTAGAAATTCTTACCTAGCACCCCTCTCAAAGTTTTCTCCTGACAAATTAAAAAGTATAGGGTAGTGTCATGTTGAAATTTGTCTTATAAGGCACATACAAACCGTTTGAGTCTGGTTTGTAAAGTTTGTATCAACAGATGCTGCAAATGGGATGGATAACAAAGCAGCAGCCAGATATCAAATATGTATGTATATTGCTTTTAGGGATGTTGTTTTCTTTTTTTCCTTCCTTCCTTCCATCCTTCCTTCCTTCGTTCCCTCCCTCCTTCCTTCCTTCCCTTTCTCCTTCCTTCGTTCCTTCCTTCCTCCCGCCCTCCCTCCTCCCTCCCTTGATGATATTATCTAATTGGGTAAAGAAATGTCTGCAAGAAAACAACCAAGCTCAGAGAGCACCAAGGAGCCACAGTTCTCCCCCTCCCCCTCTCTCTTCCTCCTTCCCTGCCTCCCTCTTTCCTTATCCTTCCTTCCTCCCACCCCTCCCTCCCTCCCTTTATGATGTTGTCTGATTGGGTAAAGAAATGTCTGCAAAAAAACAATCAAGCTCAGAGAGCACCAAGGAGCCACAGTTCTCCTCCTTCCCTCCCTTCCTCTCTCCTTATCCTTCCTTCCTTCCTTCCTTCCTTCCTTCCTTCCTTCCTTCCTTCCTTCCTTCCCTCCCTCATCCTTGTTGTTCTTCTCTGTACTCCTTCTAGGCCAGTGATGGCGAACCTTTTAGAGACTGATGCCCAAACTGCAACCCAAAACCCAATTATGTATCATCGGGTGCCAGGTGGGCACAGCCCATTGTGGGGGAGTGGCCCATTGGGTGGGTGTGGCCCGTTGGGTGGGCGTGGCTGCAGTGATAACGGCAGACTGGGTGGGACTAAAAAAATCAATCAATTCCAACTTTCCGAGATCTTTTTTTTTCCCACAAGAAGTTGAAATTGATTGATTGTACCTTTTTTTTTTTTTGCACACAGCAGCAGAGGTCTAAAGCGAAAAGGTTTTATAAAACCCAGCTGAAGGCCTAGGACTGGGGCAAGGGCATGTGTGCCCACACAGAGGGCTCTGCATGCCACCTGTGACACGCGTGCCATAGGTTCGCCACCACGGGGTTAGTGTATGATGCAATGTATTATGTGATCAGAGAAAATTGGGTTAACCAAATAAATTATATTTCTCTCAAGCATGGTGTTGTTTTTGTATATTGTTTGGTGTTGAATCAAGGAATCATCTGATACTGTACCCTCCTAACTGGAAAAGAGAACATTTAAATTGAAAGTTCTTTTATCCTGCATCTCATTTTCTTGTTTTATCTGTGCACACTAGAAATTGTAACTTGTTAGGGAAATAGGCCTTAAATATTTAGTCTTCTCCCAATGTGTTACATCAATGTTTCTCAACTTCAGCAACTTTACAATGTGTGGACCAACTACCAGAATTCCCAGCCAGCTGGGAATTGAAATCTACAAATCTTAAAAGTTACTGAGGTTGAGAAACACTGTATCAGATTATGACTCCTTTTATCTCCAACTATACAAGCTGCTCGGTAATTATGGGAATTATATCAAATACATCTGGAATGGACCCAGAATAGGGAAGGGTGAGTTTAAGAATAACAGTCTCCTTCTAATCCAGACCAATACAGGTCTACAGCAGAATTGGGCAACTATGGCCCCTTTGTGACCTATGCCCTTCAACTTTCAGAATTCTTGAGCCAGCCATGCTGGCTAAGGAATTCTGGAACTTGAAGTCCACAGGTCATAAAGGTGCCTGTTCTATAGAGAAACAATAACCTGACCAATGTTCAGTGATGTTGGCAAGTTCTAGAATTTTTGTTAAATCAGCTGTTGGCTGAAAGGAACTGATTAGAATTTGTTAGAGAAGGTGGAGAGCTAGCAGGTTGATCACTGAATCCAGATGCGAGAATAACTCAAGTTATTGAGGAGCGACTGGATGGCAGAACAGTTTGTGAGTAGGATTTTGGGAGGAGACAGAGAATTCTATTTAAGCTCAGTTTCACCAATCGGATACATGAATTATTGTGGAAAAAAAGATAATGGAGGAATATTTTGGGGGGATGTATAAACAAGCAGGGGGCTGGGGAACTTTTCTTCTCTGATCTTTCCTCTCGTTTCTTGCCTTTTATGCAGGTCTAGCTCAGGCAGCTGCAGAACGGCGGACTAGGCAAAGATGCTGCTGCTGATAGTTTTTTGTGGGGTATGGGGACTGATATCTCTGAAGCAGGGGGGTACAGCTTCTGCTACCTTCCTCCCCTCCAGCATGGATAGACTGTTCCAGAAGTTTAGCAATCTGTTTGAGCAAAGTCGGGTAAGGAGCAAAAGAAGAATGGTCCAATTCCTTCTGTGAATAAGTGGAAGGGAAGTTCTACTATTGTGCAATTTTATCAGATACTTTCTAAGAGGCTTTGATGTTTTAAACTAAAGTACTATTGTACTATTTAAAAAAGGCAGACTCCTCACAATAAATGGACAACATTCTTGGCAGCTCTGAAGAGAATCTATTTTACATTCAAGCTGATGTAATAATTATATGCAAATGTTTTGTCTATGTACTGAAGTTTACACATTTGAGCAAAATTTTGGCAAGTCCATTCTTGAAAATATTTTTGAGGCATAGGATTTCTTTGTGCACTTTTTAACTTTCATTGGCTTTAAGTAAAACTTGTTTATTTCTCTATACTGTACATGAGGATCATTCTTTGCCATTTGTAGGAAGTGCTGGGGAAAGACCAATTTGATACTCCAGTTGACATCAGTAAGCTTCCCCCCAACTACCACCATGAGGAGAATAAGCAGCAGAGAGTGGGAAATTCCACTTTTTTCAGACACTATGAAATCAGTAAAGTGAGTAAGCTATAGAAAATAGGAAAGAAACATATACCTTATTTAAACATTTAAGAATCTTGGATAGCTATATTCGCTTTGACACATTGATGGATGTATGCTATATGGAGCCTTAAAAAATTCTGAGAGATTTGTTTTTCAATGTCTTAAAGTTTAATTCTGCTGGATTTTGATGAAGTCAGCTGTTAAAAGTTTGTATGTATTTGAAGTATTTATAACCTGCTGTCTGATTTAAAAGCTGTTGATTTTTTTGAAGTTTTATTAGTATTTATAATCATTATCTCCATAGGGTATATATATGATCAGATAGGAGATACAAATATTTATATAGCTAAATGAAACTTTGGTTCTAACACAGCTATGAATCCATCTATTTATTCTCTTTCCTCCTTAGCTTCTCTATTACTCTATTAAGAACTGGTTTATGTAGGAAGCAGATTAAAGTGGTTGGCGAACTGTACCACCAGAGTGATAGAAGTGGGATACATTTGTGCTCCCAATTTAAAAAAACCTGTCTGCAGATATGAAAAAAAGCAATAAGGAGGATAATTCTGATTTGGCTCACTGCGTTAGGAATATTCAGCAAAATTCAATAAAGCAAATCCCAAACTGTGCTGATTGAAATGACACAATCAATTTTATCCCTTTGGCATTTTTTAACCTTATTCTGTTACAGGTATAAAGAAAGTGCAATGCCAGCATTCTTTGATAGTAGCTATAGTCTCAATGTCCTGCCAGCTGCCTGAACTCCCTTACACATTTGAGATTGCCATCATTCTTTGAGATTGCAATTAGTGCTGCAATTCACCATTTTGATTTCAGCAATGTCCCAGGGAAATTTGCATCAAGAGCATTATGGGAAATCATAAACATGGCTCTGAAACCTCTCTACTGCCCATGATTTCCAAGTAGTCCTGTATCCAGCAGTGCTCTAACAGGGAGTTCCAGGGAGACAAACTGCCACAAACCTTGCCCAAGCTTGAGGCCAGTCATGGCAGGGACCTAATTTAAATGCTCCAAAAAGTTGTACTGCTTCTTTGCTGTGGCTCTCTATATAACCCGGAGCATGTTTGAATGTATATTTCCTTAATGGTCTCCTATCTGTCTAGTTCAGACATGTCAAACACAAGGCCCGGGGGCTGGATGCGGCCCACAGAGTGGTTTCATGTGGCCTGCGAAGCCATCCTGGAAACAGTGAGGGAACGGCCCCTGCTGCCTTGGCCCTGGCCCAGGCCAACCAGGAGCCAATGTACAATTTTGTGGTGGCCATCTTGGCACTTGCCCCGGTGGACCATGCCTTGGCACTTGCCCTGGTCCCACCCCCTTCTGCCAGAGACCCTCAGATCTGTCCCACTCCTGCCCAGGGCCCCACAGGCATCCTTGATGCAGATGATGTAAAACTGGCCACACCCACCCAGTAGGCCACACCCACTCCATCCACACCCACCCAGTAGGCTGCACCCACTCTGGCCACACCCACCCAATCTCCAAGGGCAACCGCAATGCTGATGCGGCCCTCAGTGAAATTGAGTTTGACACCCCTGGTCTAGTTTGACACCATCAAATTCTAAGGAAATCATATTGATGGAATGGGTACTTTCCTGTGAATCGGAGGGGACTGCATGGAAATTCTGATCAAAAGAGCCCATAGCCATGCAGTACCTTAGCTATTAGGGTTTTTGAACCTGTATCCTTCCTCTTTGCCAATCCTATTCAATCCTATATTGTTCTTGTAGATGACTGATAACCATACAGGTGATATGATGTTTTCAGAGAAATCTTTGACCTCTGTTGAACAAAAAGAGATTTATCCAAAGGAAGAGGTCAGTATGCAAAATACAAGCATATTTGCTTACCTTTACCTGCCAGATTTAGGCTGCTTATATATGTACTGTACATGTTTGTGTGTGTGAGAGAGGAAAAGAATGTGTAGCAGAGACAGGTAGTGTTATGTTAGAGGTAAGTAATATGTAGTCCTTGAGTCCTTTCTCTGCAATCTTTGGAGTCCCTTCCAACTATAACTGCTGAAAATAGATACGGTTCCTGTCATTCTAAGCTGAAAACCCTATAAAAACTGTGGTGCAAATCTGAAAATTGGCATTATTTCATTAAAAAAAATATCTCAAACCTTCATCCAACCACTTTCCCTGCCTATGTGAGTTATGTAATTTTGGTTAATTTTTCATCCTCAGCCTTCTTGCCCCAAAAGTATAGGCATAACCACGTAAAGATCAGATACTTTATGCTAGATTCTAAAATGGGTGGTGCCAGGTGTGCCAGTCATATGAGCAGACTTGTTATCTTTTCTAAATGACCATATTCAGTTGCAGCCTTACAGAGAACAGTGTTGCTCACAATGCCTGCCTGCTGTGTTTCCTGAAAATAAGACCTATCCTGAAAATACGCCCAATCCTGATTTTTTGGGGTGGGCCTAATATAAGCCCTACTAAAAATAAGCCTGGGGGTTTGCATGGTCAGCACAAGCGGCGGTAAGTATGCGGGAGCCAATGGTGTCCAGCAGCAGCCACAGCCTGCCAGCCCCTTGGCACAGAGCAGGTAACTCTGCACACGGAGATGGGGGGGAAATGTTTGGGTGCCTATGGGGCACTGGGAACAAAGCAATTTGTTCACAACCAAGTGCCCCATAGGCGCCCAAACACTTCCCCCCCAAATGGAGATCTGACGGAAACTGGAAGCTCCATCTGCTTGTGAATGGGGCACTTGGAGATGGACCAATCTCCGTTTGGGGGAAAGGTGTTTGGGCGCCTATGGGGCACTTGGGACAGAAGCCTATTGAGTGCTTGGGAACGAAGCTAATTGCTCCGTCTCCAAGCGCCCCATTCGTAAGCAGATGGAGCATCCAGTCTGCTTCAGAGCTCCATTCAGGGGAAAAATGTTCGGGTGCCTATGGAGCACTAGGGGCAGCTACACTCCCTCCCCCACCTGTCTCGCCTTGTGGTGGCGGCACAGCATGGCAGGCCACACAGCCTCCTGCTGGATGGGCTTGTTGGTGCCGCTGCAAGAGAAAGCAGGTGTTGGGGAAAAAACATCCCCCGAAAATAAGACCCACTGCCTCTTTTGGAGGCAAAAAACTATAAGACCGGGTCTTATTTTCAGGAAAACATGGTACATGCTTTAACAAATATTACACGTGAGCTCTGCTCTGAAGGACTGAGGAAGTCAGTGGGAAAAAAAACCCTGTCAGAACAATGAAGGGGGCATTGTGATGTCATGAATCAAGTTTCACCATTTAATACATGTGCTTTATTGCATGCAAGAATGTCGGGGCCACAGTTTATATGTTTGTTTTATCACTTGTCCACCTTGTCTATTATGAGAGTTAAAGAAATTAGTAAAGTACTGTCATTTTTAATACACCAACTACCTCTTTTAATGAAGTACAAAAATTTCATTAAAATTGAACCAGATTCCGAACTGGTTAGATATGAGATAGAATATGGTATAGGAAACTTGACTGATTATTCCTGAGTTGTTCTAGGACATTGTTAGTCTTCCTTCACTAGGAACCCGACAGTAAGCTACTATATGATTTCCCAGTGAGAAAATCCACAAATTAACATACATGGATATGTTTTGGGTTTTTATTCTCATGTCTGATAGCAGGCAATGCAATACCTCTTAAAAACTTTTAAGCAAGCACCAAAGGCAATAATTTCTTTGTTCTCTGACCCTTTCCTAGAATTTGATACTAAAGCACAGCATTAATGAAGATGATTTATTCAACGATTAAATGTAACAGCATTTGTTAAACCTATAACCATCTGTTCAACCCATTTTCATAATCAGAACTCAAGAGTCCCTTCCTTTTAGCTCCTAATTTTTTATTAGATTCATATTTCCCTATCCTAGAGTTAAGAGGACCAAAGAATTTGGATTCCAAAACATCCCCCCTCTTGATATACATTCTCTGATCATATAGATTTAACAAATTCACACAGATCCTTAGGGCTACCCTTCTCTAGGATCTTCCAGAGGAGTTGGACTATATGTTCTGGCACTTCTAGGCAATATAACTATTTTGTATCCTTATAGATGAACATTTGTTTTGCTGGAATATAGGGTGGGGATGATTAGAAATGTAGGGATTTCAGAAGACAACACTAATACTCCTGGTCCCTCATTTTTATTGCTTTTTTATCTCCATCTTTCTAGGACAATAAGTCAATGTCTAATGAAGAAGAAAACACTGCTGAGCCAGAGAGAACAACTGCTGGACTTAAGATCTTCAAGATAGGTTTCCCTCAGCTTCGGCCAAAGCTAACTTTTTTTATTTTTCGCTTGCCCCAGCATCTTAAGAGCCAGCAGATGCCTGAAGCCAAACTGGTAAAGGAACAGCCAATCAGTGATAAGAGGCACAGATTGCTGGCCATTCGAAATGGGCTTTTAGCAGCCCCTCATCCAATTAAGACCCTTCCTGTGACCCCAAACCACAAGATCATTCCACGAAAGCGTCATTTCCTTTTTTTCTGGAAGAAGATATAGGGCATTAGGAAAATGTAATACCTGGGCCAATGGAAAATGTTCTAGCTTCTCAAATATTTCTATTGTCACATCAAAAGTTTAAAGTGAGGTTAGTCCTACAAAAGGGGGAAATGTTTCCTTCAAAAATTCAAAATAAAAGTTATCCTTTTGAAAAATCCCTCAAAGATGAAATAATGTGTTTTTTTTTAAATATCATGATGGTGATGATGGTTGTATCCAGCTCTTGGGCAATTCTATGGGCCAGGTCTCTCCACATCTTGAGTTCTTCTATGCTCTGGCAGGCGTCAGCTTCAATGGTGGCCAGCCACCACGTTCTTTAATAGCCTGGTTTCCTTTTACCGCTTCCAAACATCCTCATGGTAACTGCATGAGGATTGGGGGTACATTGTATTCCAGATGACAGGCATTGCAGCCAAGTAGACACACCACTTAAGATCAATCAATCAATCAGACTAGATGACACCGTTTGAAGGATAAAATCTGGTATCCTATAGTATCCTCCTTGATCACATCAAACAGACCATGTACGATCCTTTAGATAGTCAGGCCCTATACCATACAGTACTTCAACATTGAAAATCAGCAACTTTAACTGCACCTAGAAACCAACTGGTAACCAGAGCAGATTGTGAAGCAGTACAGGTAGGGTCATAGGTTCATGTGCTGCTCCTATCATTACTTGTGCTGTTGCATTCTAGACCAGTTGTAGCTTCTGGATGGTCTTCAACTACAGCTCCATTGCAATAATGCAATTGTGAAATGGCCAGGGCATGACTGACTGTTTGAAGAGCCTCCCAACTCAGAAAAAGGTGCAAATGTATCTGTGCAAAGCCCTCTTGGCCGCAAGTGCCACCTGATTTTTGAATAGGAACTGAGAGTCCAAAGGACCCCAAGACTGTGCCCTATGGGACACAATCATATGGAAAAGTACCATCCCATTGAGACTTAAAAATGGAATTGCATTCCTAGAACTGATACGTTTGTGTGTGCATGCGAGGGGGGGGGAAGAAACAACCACATAGCCTTTCCAATATTGAGCCTGAACCTGTTCCTCCCATCCAGACCCATTTAGCTTCCACATATAAAGCTATGACTTCAACAGCATTGCCTAGAATGGTACAGGATTAAGACTTAGAACTGGATATAATTTGTTTACTGATGATACCGGATCTCAAAACAATGGATGATCTCGTCTGGAAAATTCTTTTGTAGATGTTAAACAGAAAGGGAGAAAACATTGTATTCTGCAGTACTGCCCAAATGACGGGCTATGGGCTCTGTCTCTCTCCACCCATCATCACTAATTAGAATTGGCAACAGAGAAAGGAGAACCACTGTAAAATAGGGTTTCCCAACCTCAACCCTCAAAGTAGTCCAACACAATACCATGAAAGCCATAGAGAGATCAAGGAGCACAAGGTGAGATGCAGTACCTCTTCCTAATTTCACCACAGATTATTAACTAGCATGACCAATGCAGATAATTATATTTTCCTTCAATTTTTGGTAGCTGAAATAGTGATTACTATTACTACTTTAGGATATGTGTTAAATATCACCTTGAGATAATACTCTATAGTTAGTGTGCTTCTAAATCAAGACCTCCTAGGTAATGTTACTGAAATCATGTATGTCTTGATGAAGGGGAAAGTCCTTTCTATATCTATCTATCTATCTATCTATCTATCTATCTATCTATCTATCTATCTACCTATCTATCTTTTCTGAGGTTTTCGCGGGTGTTTGTATGTAGGTCTTTGGTTATTCGGGTTTTCTCCTGTGTCAAATTGGAAGTGTCTTGGCGACGTTTCGACGAAGTCTCATTCGTCATCTTCAGGCTGGTGTTTTCGGCTTCGTGCTTCTGGGAGCGATGTGTGATCGTAGCTGTTTCTTCTTTTTAACTGCCAGTGGGGGTATGAACTGATTGGATGAGAGCTTGGCTGTGTTCTGACTGGATGGAGGTGTGTTCTGATTGGATGGGGGGGGTTGGCTGTGCTCTGATTGGTTGGGGGAGTGTTCTGTTTGGGTGGGGGCTTTGTTGTGCTCAGGTTAGTCTGAGTTGCACGGGGATGTGAGATGGTGAGCTGCATTGCTATTGTTTGGCTTCGCGTTCGTGGTCGTGCCTCATCTTCATGGTGGGTGTCAGTTTGCTTCATGTATGGATTGGACGGGTTTAAAGTGACTAATGATGCAGCTGTGGTCTGGCTTCTAGTTTGTGGTCATGCCCCATCATCGGTGTGGGTTTGGGTTTGCTTTTTACGTGGACGTGTGGTGGTGACATCCTGTGTGGCTTTTGTGAGTGTGGGTCTGGTGTCATTCTTTGTGTTAGGGACTTATTTGTCAATAAGGGCGGGTTTCCAAATGGCTGGTAGGTGGGAGGTATTATCTCGTTATTATTCTGTTATTAAAGTGTTCAGTTTTGGCAATAGTTCTGGCACCACAGACAGAATCAGTAAGATCCTCCACAAACACAACATTAAGACAGCATTCTGCACAAACAGAAAAATATCCACCATCCTAAGAAACCCCAAAGACAAAATTGAATTAGAAAATCAAGGAGTATACAAAATCCCATGCACTGCTTGTCCCACCACATACATCAGACAAACCAACAGAAGAATAAGTGCACGCATTGAAGAACATAAGAACTCAGTCAAAAAAGAGGAACCAACTTCTTCCCTGGTCCAACACCTTAAAATCACAGGACATGAAATTGACTTTAAAAAGACCAGAACTATTGCCAAAACTGAACATTTTAATAACAGAATAATCAGAGAAGCCATCAAGATAGAAAAACGCCCACACAGCATGAACAAACGAGATGATATCTCCCGCCTACCAGCCATTTGGAAACCTGCCCTTATTGACAAATGAGTCTCTAACACAAAGAATGACACCAGACCCACACTCACAAAAGCCACACAGGGTGTCACCACCACATGTCCATGCAAAAAGCAAACCCAAACCCACACCGATGATGAGGCACGACCACAAACCAGAAGCCAGACCACAGCTGCATCATTAGCCACTTTAAACCCCTCCAATCCATACATGAAGCAAACTGACACCCACCATGAAGATGAGGCATGACCACGAAGCCAAACAATAGCAATGCAGCTCACCATCTCACATCCTCGTGCAACTCAGACTAATCTGAGCACAAAGCCCCCACCCAAACAGAACACTTCCCCAACCAATCAGAGCACAGCCAACCCCCCCATCCAATCAGAGCACAGCCAACCCATCCAATCAGAGCACAGTCAAGCTCCTAAACAATCAGAATACACCTCCAACCAATTAGAACACAGCCAAGCTCTCATCCAATCAGTTCATACTCCCACTAGCAGGTAAAAGGAAGAAACAACTACGATCACACATTGCTCCTAGAAGCACGAAGCCGAAAACACCAGCCTGAAAATGACGAATGAGACTTCGTTAAAACATCGCCAAGACACTTCCAATTTGATGCAGGAGAAAACCCGAATAACCAAAGACCTACACATATGTATGTATGTATGTATGTATATATACATGTGTGTGTGTGTGTATAATATATATATATATATATATATATATATATATATATATATATATATATGTGTATATGTATATTCATTGTTTTTCTCTGCATTCTTTTCATACTAATTAGTTTGCATTGGGTTTTGTTTGCATTTCCAAACTTTAATAAAATTATTTTAAAATACCATCAAGATCTCCTGATAAAAATGGTTTATTCTGAACTACAACACAGACTGAGTGCTTATCTGCACAGCAGGAGTATGGCCCACTCTTTTTCAAGGACAGGAATGCACAGCGTGTCCTCTATCTACCCTGAGAATGCAACTTTCACCCATCTTTTTCTGCTATGCATCAGGAATGTTTTTCAACCTGTTCCAAAATAGAGCAGATTTGCGCTTCATTTCATTGTACTCAAAGACCTCAACTCCATGGCTCCTCCGATTCCTGACTTCCTGTATTTCTTTCAATCTGTATTCCTGGTGAACGTCTATATGTGTTTTCATCTTCTGAAGAAACCTTGATTGACAAATCCCTTTTTTACCCCTTCAGTTCATCCGTTGATCACTTTTTAAAAATAAATTAATTAGTAAAATATTAAAAGACCAATCTCATTTCTACTCTTCTTCAGTGATGGAATAGTGAAAATATCAACAGAAGAAAATATTTGTAGCTCAAGATTGAATTTTGGAAATGTTCTCTGAGCCTGGTGGTTTCCCAGTACATGTTTCATTACCAAATTAGGTAATCAACTAGGTAACATCAGAGCTAGAAGTCTAATCATCTAGCATTGATGATGTTACCTATTTTGGTAATGAAATGTCTGCAAGAAAACCACCAAGGACCCCACAATAGTAAAAAGTGAAAGGCTGGACCTTCTTTCCTTCTCTGCAAAATTTTGCAAGATTTTTGCCAGTTTTGCCTTAGAGCCCTTCCTGCCCTGGGGCCTTTCTTGGGCTCTTCCCCAAATAACAGGAAGAATGATAAAACTGCTTTTTTTGTTGGTCTAAAAATGGATGTCTAAATAAGAAGATACCTAGTATGAAGGATAATCAGAACAGGGGACTAATACAAAAGTTTTATCAATGGGACCCATATGACTGAAAATTCTGCCCATGCAAAGGTGGGAAAAATTTTAAAAATTCAGGAGAATCAACAAACCAGTGCTGTTTTAAGACTGTCTGGACAAAATTCCAGGCCATCACCCATGAATGGGATTTCTTAAGCAAGCTTTATTCCTGGCTGCTTTAGACATAGTATATACATTATGTAATACTGCAGTGCAGAAAATCATTAGGTGACAGTAAAATCTGCTAGCTGACCCATTAACCCCATTTCTGGATCTAAAAATATTGTCAGGAAATTCTCATATCATGATTCCTAACAATAAAGTGCTACCCTTTACAAACCACAATTTTACTATAGTATTAGTACTACTTATTGCTGAAGGAAATAGCAACTACAGTATGACTTAGAGGCACATTCTTTCTACAATTCAAATATAATGTATAAAGTAATTGATAATCCTCTTTTATCCCACAATATTGATCAAAACAAGAGTGGGGGATGGCTATCACAAGAACAGGCCCTTAGTATAGGTAGTCTTTAACATACGACCATAACTGAGTCCAACATTTATGTTAAATGA